CTCGTCTTTCTTCCTTCCACAGAGAGATGCGATAGCCGAGATATTTTGTCGTATCTCGTCCACTCCGGCTGCTGCGAAAGTGCGTTTGTTGGGCTGACCTTGAGGTCTCCTCTTCGTCTTGACCTCTAGCTGCATGCCCGCTTCCGGCTGCACCTCCAACACAGCTATTCCTTGTTGCAGCATGTGTTGACGATAGATCTCCGTAATCCCGGCTGAGTTCATGCCATTCATCTTGAGGAGGTGAGAGAACTCAGCTAGGGCCCCCGCCTTGCCAGAGTGCTTATCCTTCTGTGGCCTTATCTTGAAGGAGCAAGGATGCTTCGAATGCGCGTTCACCGCGCGGATCATCTTTCCGTCGATCCTGAAGTTCGTCTGTCCTTTCCACAGCAGTTCTGCTGCGTCGTTCAATTGGAGTGTTGCCACGACTGGGATTTCATCCACTGTCGGAATCAAATCTTTCTTGATCGGGGCTCTCCACGAGATGCATTTCTTGCCCTGCTCCTCGTGCACCAAGAGTCCTTGATCCTTCAACTTCTCACACAGTACCTCAACTTGTTTTATGTACTGGGTAGGAACTCCGAGGATAGCCATGGTAATCAGTTTACCACTCTCGGGGGACGCTCCTGAAGCATCGATGCAGGCACTCTTGTCTAGTACCTCCTGTTTGTCTGCGTTCCATGCAGAGACATACCACGACTGTCCTTCTTCCCCCCATTCTTTGATGGCATCCTCCTGGCTCCTGACTTCAGCATGTTTGCAGGTCTGTCGAATGGCTTCGGCTAAGGCGTTCATCGAGACTTCCTTGGACTGCAAGGCTCTGCCTGTCCTGCTCTGAGGGTACTGCCTGACGAAGTGTTCCAATCTTCGGATCAGCTCTCCTAGCGAAGGTGCTGAAGGCGTCGTGTCCTTGTTTAGGAACTGGGAAACTCGGACACGAGCAATCTGTTTCCTTTCCTCTTTGGATAGATACCACATGATCAAACAACCGTTTCTGCACAGAAAAATATCCTGTTCAGCACACTAGCTCGCAGGGATCCCCTCAAACTGCAGGGGAGGAGAGCATGTCTGTTACTCCAGCGGTCTGTCTGTTACTCCAGCGGTCTGTCTGTTACTCCAGCGGTCTGTCTGTTACTCCAGCGGTCTCCTAAACCCTAGCGGTCTCCTAAACCCTAAACCCTAAACCCTAAACCCTAAACCCTAAACCCTAAACCCTAAACCCTAAACCCTAAACCCTAAAGAATTTCATAGCTAAGAACTATTGCTCTTTGCTCAATTAGAATGCTAGAATGTTGCTCGGCCTCGTTGTGGGCTTATGCAATTTGATCCTAGTCTAAAGAGGCTACAATGCGAACCCTGCTTCTGAGGCGTCTTTCTACTCTGTACTTCTGCTGTCTTCTCTTGGCTTCCTCAGCCTCAGTCAGGAGAGTTGCCTCTCCTCACCTTGGCCTTCGGTCACCACCTACTCTACCTCCATTCAGCTTCCTCAGCCTCAGTCAGAAGAGTTGCCTCTCCTCACCTTGGCCTTCGGTCGCCACCTACTCCTCCTCCATTCAGCTTCCTCAGCCTCAGTCAGGAGAGTTGCCTCTCCTCACCTTGGCTTTCGGTCGCCTCCTACCTTCTCTCCTTACCTTGAGCTCAGCTCAAGCTCGGTACGGGCTCGCCCCGTCTTCTTCCTCGCCCTCGCCTTGCTCTTCCTCCATGTCTTCCTCTTCTTCGTCATCTTCCCTCATCTCCACTCGCAGTCGGTCCTTCTTGTCCACCTTCAGCGAGCAGGCCAGCACATGCATCTCTGCGAATTTACTCAGTGCTATGAACAGGAAGCTAAGAGATCGACGCTCTATGTCGTCGCTCTCCGCCTCCTGCTCAAGCTCAGCAGCTGCCGTTGCCCGTGGCGAGAACGCGCTGCCTCTCCTTGCCTTCTTGCTCTCTCCTTGCACGCGAGTCCAGCGCTTGCTCTGCAGCCACTTCCCCAGCTTCTCCTTGAGAACGTTGCGCCCAACTCCCTGCTCCTCTGGCATCTTCGCCCACTCTCCCAGCGACATGAACTCCAGGCTCCCCGGAGAGTAGAACGTGTCGTGGAGGTTGCCAACGGCCTTGTCCAGGACCAGCTTGATCGGCTCGCTCGTCCCTGCCTCGTTCAAAGAAGCTGCATCTTCGATGACTGCTGACAGCTCGCTGACGAGCTGCATGTCCTCTTGGCTTGACGGAGATGCTGCCTCCATTGTGATCCTCTCCAGGTCTGTAAACTCCAGCCACTCTCCCTCGCTCTCCTCCTGTCGCTGCGCTGCGTCGCTGGTGCCCCGCTGACCAGCCGCCTCAGAGTCAGGCTCCTTGTCGAAGCCGACTGCTTCGAGCTTGGTGGCTGCGCCTTCGAGATAGAAGGGCAGCTCCTTCATCATGCGTCGAGCATCCTCCGTGGAGCCGAGGAGGATGCATAGCTTGGACCCGTTCCAGGACTTGGTGTTCAAATCCTCCTCCATGTCGATGCCTTCAACGTTGATCTCGAGCCTGTTAGCGATCTCCAACAAGACTCTCTTGACTCTTGCGATAGACGTGTTGCCGCCGTTGCACAGCCCCTCCATCTCCTTCCTCGTGAAGCGACCAGATGCCGCCGTCGACTTGATGATGATCTTGATCTCCTTGCCGTCCTTGCCGCCTGCCTTCTTCTGCATCCTTGATGCCTTCTTCAACTTATTTCTGGACACAAAGCGATCAGCTGTCAACTCGACTGCGAGCGCCTCTCTGATCTTCGGGTCCTCGCTGAACAGAGTCAGGTGTACTCCCTCCATCGCTTCGCTCTCTCGGAAAGCTCGAAATGCTGTATCATTCGCCTCTGGGCAGCTCGAGGAGACGATCCACTCCACCTCCCTCTGTCTCCAGATGACGTTGGCCCCTACAGCGATGAAGCCTTTCTGACCTAAGCCTTTGTGGACTTGCTGTCCTGGCGCCCCAGCGACCAGCATGCCTGCCAGCGGCTGGAGTTGGACCGCTGCAAGGGACTGGCGCAGCAGCTGATAGCGATAGACGGCAGCTATCTCAGCCGTTGTCATGCCGCCCAAGGTTAGCAGGTGAGTCAGCTCTGCCAAGCTGCCCCCTTTGCCCCAGGGTCCTCTCTTGGCTCGAATCTTGAAAGATCGATCGTGCACGATGCTCACATGTACAGCTGTGAACTTGCGACCATCGATCGCGAAGTCCTCTCTTCCCTGCCAGAGCTTCTCCGCTTGTGCATTGCGGAGGAAGGAAACAGTCACCGGGATCTCCTCAGCACTCGCTATCTCGGGTCTATACGGAGCCTTCCACATGATTGCTTTACTCTCTTGCACTGAGTCTACGATCAGTCCGATCTCTTCAAATTTCTTCTTCAGCTTTTCTTCATGGTTGACATACACCGAGGAGATGCCCAGGAGAGTCATGGAGATGAAGGAAGTCACCTCGTTGCCTGCTGAGGCGGTGTATGTCTCGACCTTCTCTTTCTTGGCTTCTTCAATCTGCTGCATAAACCACTCTCTGGATGCGTCACTCCATCCAGCCATCGCTTCTTGCAGAAACTCACGTCGTGCCTGCTGACATGTCGAGCGGATGGCTTCTGCGATAGCGTCGGGGGTGCATCCCTCCACAGCCTTGCAAGCCTGGGCTGTCCTGCTGTTCGGATAACGCTTCGCGAAGCTCTTCACCCTCTCGACGAGATCAGCTTCGAGGACAGAGGCATCCACAAGTCCGCTCTGCGTGTATTGGCATGATCTCCGATACAGCAGGTTGCGAACATTTTCATCATACTGAAGAACCATACTTAGAAAGCTATTTGAAGTATACAAACCTCTCGCTTGCAGCTTCCTTGGCGCCCTGGCAGCTTCCCCTACACCACGCGTGCAGCCATGGTGCCTGAAATAACCGGCGCTGGTGCCTGAAATAACCGGCGCTGCCCTCAACCCTAAACCCTCAACCCTAAACCCTCAACCCTCAACCCTAAACCCTCAACCCTCAACCCTCAACCCTCAACCCTCAACCCTCAACCCTAAACCCTCAACCCTAAACCCCTAAGCTGCCTCTACTAGGGGCCGGCCCCTAAACCCTAAACCCTAAACTCAAAAAAAAAAACCCTAACTAAACCCTAAATCTCAATCCTTTCATGTGTCGGTGGTCTACTTGGTGTTGTGGAATGGCAGAACAAACAGGGATAAATGCGATGTTGAATCAGTGAAAAGAAGATCGAAACATTTGATGATGTCAACCCGCGATGACATCATAAGACTCTATGCCCCTTTTATTCGAGATAGCCCGCCATGGTCATTATCTGAGGTAAATTTTGGGTTTGTTAAACGAAAATGATCAACAAAGTAGGTCATAAAGACTCTATTTACGTCTACACTTCTTCTACCTACGAGGTACCTTTGTCCACATCAACGTCCAGTTAACAATTCTTGCCTCAAAGGATGTTGACTCTCGGCTTGTTTCTGGTTCTGTTGTTTCTCTTCTCCTCTCTGTCGTTGTTCTGCGATTACATCACAGACACCCATACATTGGTGGCGCAAGAAGCCAAAATGCCGTTTGTGATAATTATGGCGACGCTTTTAAAGAAAGGAATACATGTTTGTATCCGCCTTCTCATTCGTGCAGGTTTAGTCTCATTCTTGAAACTTACTGTTAAATGACGATACTAGGAATCTTCATCTCGTTCGGAGTTCTCAGCATCCGCACCATCTCATCAAGGCATTCCATTGATGAAGGCAAGCAACAAGAGAATGCTGCACTTGCTGACAAGACTGCTTGTTTCGTGTTCTAGTTGAGGTTGTTCCCGACATGCCAAGACCAGCTTTATATGTGGCGAACCATCTCGGGTACTAAAATGACTTGCATAACATGTGGGTGACTCTCGAAGCTGGCTAGAGATTCTTGTTCTTCTCAGTCAGGTCTATCAGCGACCAGATACATGCTTGCAACATGACAAGATTGATGAAGTTTGGCTGCACGTTTGTGGCCCACAAGTACATCAAAGACATTCCTTGTGTGGGATCCGTAGCTCGAGCTCTCGGCGTAGTGTTTGTTGGACAAGGTGATTTCATTTCAACCATGATGTGAAACAATAACAAGATAAAAGGTGAAAGCTCGAGTGAAACAGTCAAGCAGAGGATCCTTGAGACATATGACTGTATCATAAAGTTGTTACAATTGGAAGCGAATCCTTTTTCTGAACTTCACACAAGAAACTGTCCGACATGTCGGAAATGCTATCCGCCTGTGGTTATTTTTCCAGAGGTACTTGCAGGGGTTTGTAGCTTAAGGGCGCCAAGGAAGTGAGAGATGTGCAGGGAACGACGACAAATGGCCTCGGTATGCTGACCTTCCGCACAGGAGCGTTTGTATCATCGGTTCCTGTTGGTACCACAGATAAAGAGAGAAAGCAAACTGAGCTCTGATCTCCAGGTCTCTCCCGTTTGCCTTCGATTCGCTTCATCGCAACATTTCAATGCATCCTGGGAAACCATTCTCTTCTCCCACCATCTCTTACGTAACTTCATTGCACTCGCGGTCTGGATCTTACTCATGTGAAGGTACCATGACTCAAGTTCACAACAACATGCAGCTCATTTTGATGCCTCCAATCAAGGTTTATCGCTTCACCATTCCTTTTCGTCGCTTTATTGCACTGTTTGGAATTCATTGTGAATCAGGTGGCTAAAGATCCGAGTCGAGAAGAAGCAAGGCAGGCTCGATACTTTGCCGACATGGTGCCTCTGCCTGCTATCTGCTTCCCTGACACGTGCTCAGGTTCAGCTGACCATGAGTGACTGCATGCTGAGTCACTGGGGGCTATCGACACCAACTAGCGGGGGCAAGCAAGAAGGCAGGCAGCCCACAGGCTCAACTCTGTGTGATAGTTGCATCGCAGAAGCTCTGAGATTGAGCATGAACGAGGCGTCTCGCACAGCTGCCGAACGCGTTCCTGCGACAGTGAGAGGCGGAGATCCGACATTTCCTGTGTGGAAATTGAACAGGAAGCACAAGGTGAGATCGATTGCGGGCACGTGCAAAGACATAACGCAAGGCAGATGCTGTTTCATCAATGGGTGCTAGGGAAGAAGACGGACGAGGAATTGATTTCCGAGGTTTTCTGGAGGAGCAGCTGTTGAACCCCTGACAGCAGTGCAGTATCGAAGTCTCCTTGCAAGCGACAACTCGCTTATGTCAAGCTTGATTGGATCTTTTGACCTCTCTCCCTGATACCTTTCTTGCCCTTTGTCGACCATGTAAACTATCAACCGCTGCGGCTTCACGTCCTCCTCAACCTTACTTGGCATTCGTTGCTGAATCCAACACCAACTCTTTGACTTATGTGTAATCGAGCACCTGTTGAGAAGAACGAGCCAAGACGACGCCATGTTGCATCTACAATGGTATGAAAAGGAAAGCGCTTGAGCCTTGAATGTACCTGAAAGCATTCCATCGCCATCTCCAACGCCGAGAGCAAAGCTCTCTTCTTGTCTAAACCGTCATCCAACACAAACTCTAATGGCGTGTGAGAGAAAGACATCAACAGAGCAACAACTTCTACCTTTCAATGACGACAAGTCCAGAGTCCTGTGCAATGGTAATGACCAACAAGAGCACAAGCTCATGAATTTCACCTCTCAGTCCAGACGGGAAATGCTTTCTGTTCGATCGGGTCCCAACCAAACAGAATATCTGCACCGTTGCAAGTCCCAAGCTGGAGAGCATACATGAAAATTGTGAGAGTGGGAATACGAACAAACCGTATTATGAAACCAATCATAAACTGCATTCCTCTGCTCATGGAGCGATTGGCAATTCGCCTCTTTCAAGCGTTCGCAAGCATTTTGGTGATTGTTGAGGTCAAGGTATCTGCAGCAACCTCAGATCAAAAACTGAGGTGGGAAGGGGAGTAGTAAAAACAGGCTCAATCGAGGAACGATACTAAAATGATTCCAAGAGAACAGCAGGTGAAACATTTGACAAAACAAATCAAGGAGAGGTAAATACCCCGGGAGAAGCGAAAGATGATTCATGATTTCTCTAAGGGCACGGAAAATCATTTTCTTCTCTTCCTCTTCACAGGAAATTCGACTGATAAAGGCTCCTGAAGCTGCGCTGATCTTATCGGAACCTTGAGAGCAGCGAGGAGCTTCCTTCGTAGCAATGCTCAATCTTGTTGAGAGGTAATCGACCAGATGAATCTGCATTAAACGGAATGAGCGTTATCTCGTCCCTTGCGCTTTGCCCCAACCGCTCCCCCTCCTCCTGCATCAAGTTCCCAAACTCATTACCTCAAAGCATCCTGCACCAGCCACAGCAAACCCGTTTAAATGAACATCATTGACGCATCTGAGAGCATTTTTCATCACGCTGGAAATATCTGACATGGTTGACTGTAGAAGACAGTTTGAGAAAAATCGATGGATTTTGATCATTAATATTACCTCCTCTGGACAACACAACAGGATTGTGCAAAATGTTTTAGAGATAAGAGATGCATTGCTCTTGGTAAAGACCATGCATCTCCTCCCAGAAATGATCACCTATTGGGTTTCAACAGAAATCGAATCTTGCAACGACCATTCTTCACCTCGGACAATTTTCCAAACGCCCCAAAATCATCCTCACACACATCAAGAAGGATGGAACTTAGGATGTTTGCACCTGTGATGTCCTGCAAGCGCATCAAGTAAATCAAATCGTCTTGTCGCTGACACGATATTCTCTTTCTGCTCAGATATGGACACAAAACCTTGTCAAACCTGTAAGCTCTTCATATGGCGGACTGAAAGCCTTTCGAGGGGAAGTATTCCTCGTCTGAGACATTCCTCCTTTTCAGGTAAAACACATATTATCACTCGTCTGACACAGACACTCTAATCTTGTGTCACAAGCAAGTAGCTACCTGAATGGCTGGATCGATTCCTCGTTGACAAGCAAGGACGTGCACGCGACTGCGATGAAGATTCTCAACTAGATGTCGTAGATGTCTTAAAGCATCTTCATCTCCCTGCCCCTTCTGTCACTCGCTTTTGCAAGATGACATGGATAATTACGTTTTCTGAAACATTTCGGTGGCGCGAAAACTGAAACGCTCCAGTAGCTGCATGTTGGTAGGCAGAGCCGTCAAAAGGCTCCAGTGCAACGTCAAACAAAACAATTCTCGAGCGATCAACCTCGGCCCTGTGAGTCACTTGAAGCGTAAGGGGAATACGATGCGCTCAGTCTAACCTCAATCGAGAATCGCTTGGAATAGAAGCGTCGATGACGAGACCTTGTACTACTTTGGAACTGTTGCTTATTGAGTCAGAAGTTTGCTTATGTCATTAGATAGATCTGACGAAACCTCAAAACAGACAATCCAGGGACGGGAAATATCCGGAAGGAAGCTTTTTCCTCAACGCTTTAGCATCCTATCAGTCATAGAACACCAGGACGGGCATATTACCTTCTGAATGCTTCCATCACAAGATCAACCAGAAAACTGATTTCCCTCCCATTTAGACGAAAGCTTAACTTCGGCACCAAAACGGATCTCAAAATAGATCGAAGGAACCATTCTTGACGATGTTGATGCTTGCCATGGGTCAACTGAGCAGCATCGTGCTCATTGTTGAGAGGACAAGTCGAAATATTTTCTCCGCTCGCCCAACGAATCACCACGGGGCAGCTTGCCCAAGCGAAGTAGTCAAGTATCCACTCCTCAAGAGCAGCAAGAGCAATAGAAAGATGTTGTTGACGGATGTGCGATGACGAATCCCGATGAAGCAACGAGCAATCCAAACTGGACAAAAATTCTACATGGACCCCAAAAGATTTTGAGCCAGCAAGCGTTTCTAAGCGCTCACTCTCACTTAAGCTCTCACGCTCTTGGTGATCACATGGCTAGTGAAGTAAATCAATGAGGTCAAGATGAAGGGAGCAAACCTGACACGTCGACAAAGCCAACTCCAGAAACATCAAAATGCACAAGAGACCCTGATCGCGAAAAGATCGCAGATGACGGAGAATCAGATTCTGCAAGAAGACTGCAAAGGGATCGCTTGGCTTCAAAGCCTGCAACAAGACTCTGACCACGGATTGATCAGAGAAAGACTGACCTCAATCAAGCTCAAAGAAAAAGACGTCAGCTTCGCTTTCCCACTGCTACCGCTCAACTGCAGGATGAATTTCCGTCCTGTTGGACCGAAACTGTGTGAGGCGATGGAATGGAGAAACAAAAGATGGGAGAAGAGCCCTCGCGTCCTTGTGACGGGAACAAGCTGCACACCATGATCGTTTAAACCCATGCTTCATTTCATAGTACGTTCAGACGTTTCGTTGACTCAGCTCTTGCTCTCTCTTGTGCAGGCGCTCCAGGTCTTTGATCACCCCTTCTCGCATGAGCTTTCTCTCCTTGTTTTGAGAATCGTGAATGAAGTATACGACGCCAACTGTAACTGCTCCCATCACTGCGAACGCGATCGATCCCCCATGCTTTGTCAACATGGCTCTGATTTGCTGCCTTGTACCTCTCTGCTTTGCTGCCTTGCACTTACACTGTTCCTACGTCGCACAAGTTAGTTTCCAGGTCCTCTCGCCCTCTCTCTCGCCCCCCCTCCCTCTCTCGCTCGCTCCCTTGCTCCCTCCCCTCGCTCGCTCGCTCGCTCCCTAGTCTCCTCTGCTCTGCTCTGCTCTGCTCTGCTCTGCTCTGCTCTGCTCTGCTCTGCTCTGCTCTGCTCTGCTCTGCTCTGCTCTGCTCTGCTCTGCTCTGCTCTGCTCTGCTCTGCTCTGCTCTGCTCTGCTCTGCTCTCCTCTCCTCTCCTCTCCTCTCGTCTTCCATGCTCATCCCATCTCTTGAACATTACGTATGAGTCAGGTGTATCCCTGGGAAAAAAGGCGGACCGGTGTCCAACTTTTGTGCCTGAGGTCTGTAATAAAAGATGGGGACCTCTCACACATGTTTCACGTGAAAGTTTGCAGCAATGGCGCTACGAGTCGGTGGCGTCCCCGAGCACTTCAACCTACCATGGCAGCTGGCAAGGCAAGTAGAGATGCGACCGTATGATCATGTTCAATGTCACCATCATGAATTCAGTGATTACAACTTCAAAGGAGAAAGTGTAATCGGAGGAAATAGATCATAGAGTAAGAAGAAGTATGGAAACTAGATATTATAATATGATCTTTGCAAATGCACGACACATATCTGAAACAATCACGCAGAGAAAGGAAACTGTTTGAGCAGGAAGGATTGCAGGTAGAATGGAAAGATTTTCCTGGAGGTACAGGTGCCATGTAAGATCTCCACTGCGATGTGAGTTACGCTGACCCGGATGAAATAGGACAAAAGCGCTGAACGATGGAGAAGCAGATGTTTGCGTACTCCTGACTGAAGGAATTGTTAAGGACATTGTCTGCAACAAGAAGAGCAAAATAGTCTCTACGTTTGTTTCCAGTCCTCTTTGCTGGGGAATCCACACAGGTGCCACGCGGGTCCTCATGGTCTGCTCGATGACGAGAGGCGGCAGGAGCAAAACAGCAAGACGTGACAGCCGTGAAGGATCTCAATGAGAAGATATGGGCGATCAGCCGCTTCACCTCAGGCTCGCACCTCATGGCCTGTGAGCTGCTTGTTCACTCAATGCCGTTGAACTTATCCGCTTCCTCTAGTCGTACTGGCGAAGCAGGAGGGATGGGACACGGCGAGCCTCAAGTTCAAGACCGTTGGAGACATCAAAGGCGCGCAGGAAGCTCTTACTGATGGTGTTCCTGCTCCGATTGTTCCTTGTCTTTGTTGCTGACGGAGCGTGCCAGGATCTGCCAACGGCTTTCTCTGGGAGAAGTTCATGACAAAGCCTCTTGTGGATGGGGGAGTCTTCCGTAGGGTCAGTTAGAAGGGGTGGGGGGCAGGGACTTAGGCTTCACGCAGGTAGGAGAGATTCCAACGCCATGGCCATGTTTCGTGATCGCAGTGAGGAACGAGATTCTTCAAGAAGTGAGTTGAACCCCTTTGACGAACGTGACGTGACGGAGCTCCAGAGATCTGCAGACGTCAGGAAGATGATCGACATTGTTCAGAAGGTTTGCCAGGAGTTCAAGGCGGACGAAACGTCTCCAGCGTTGGTGGCACAGTGTGTTCAAAACGTGATCAATTCGTTACTTAATGACTTGTGCCGCCAGGACGTTTGAGCACAAATATGAAGACGCGTGCGAGTGGATGAAAAGCGTTGAGTGGAGCTCGGCATGTCAAACTGATCGCGAAATGATCCTGAAGGTCTTTCTTTGTCTGGCCTACACTCCCTGCTCGTGCTCTGTTCTCATCACTTTCTTCATCTCTCCTCCTCTCTTTTCCGATCACTCGCGGTTCTTGAAGCTGATTTCTTTCCTTGCTGCAGGTCGCACACACACTGGCAGAGCTCAACATCATCCAAGAGATTCCTGACGTATCAGAAATCGTCAAGGACATTTGAAACGTTTCCAGTAAATTTTGTATTCTTGTCAAGCTCGTGTCAAAATCTCCTGCAACGACTTGGGCATTGCTTGGCTCAGAACTATACACAAGTCACAACAACGATAGGATCGCTGCAAAGGCACTACCGGCTTGTTCGGAGCGGCTCGCACACCTGGCAGATGCTGGCAGCACTTGGATTTCGCAGAGAAGGAGATGTCTACGCAGATGTCAACTCCTCCCCGCATGTCGTCCTGCGATTATGCTCACCCCAAGTCGGTCTTGCTTGAGCAGTAGAGCGACTCGCCACCCGAACTCAATTTCTTCTTGTGCAGGACAAAGATGTTGCACTTGGAGAGCTTACTCTGTCGTGCCAGGGTTCAGAATCAGGTATAAGAATGAGGAAACTGGTTTGCGAAAGAAGGCGAAAGTGGTGAAGGGAGGGACGGGAGGATGCGAGAAACCTCGATGAAAGAACTGTCCAAAGGAAAACCACTCAAGCCCGAGACCGCCTAATCCAATGTCAACAAACAAACTCCTGGGATTCATCAAGCTGGTATGTACCTGATTTGCAGCTGGAATCGACTGCCACAATTGCGGGTACTCCGGCCCATTAATCCTTCCATTCTCAGACTGTACACTTACTCAGGCAAACATACGTCTCTACCAGTATTATGCAAGACCAAAAACAGAGAAACAGCAGCAGAAAGCAAAGACACCAGGGCAATTCACTATACCAGGATCACTTCGAGAGGGATGGTATCCTTGAAATAATAAATTCCAGTTGCGTTCTTGATGGCAACCTGCAGGCCCAATGAAGGAGTGGCTGGAGAGGTCTTGTCCTCCTTGCAAGTCATCGCAAGCGAAACTGTCTGACTTTGACCAACGGTGAGGGTTGGAACCTGGTGAACAATTCATTGTCTGCCAACATATGTACCACGCCATCGCCATCTCCATCTACCTGGAGTGCAACCGCATTCGTCAAACCAAAAAAATTCTTGTTGAATTGAATGGCAAAACCGCTCAGCGGACCAGCAGCAGAAATATTCTTAAACTGAAGCTCATACGAGATTTTGCCACCAGATCGCACGAGAATGCCATCTACAGCCATTCCTCCTCCCTTGTCGGCAGTAAGGAGAGAGTTCATCTTGGCGGGAAGAGAATGAGAACCGACCATGTCGACCGAGGGTGTGCTTGTGGGTTGGAATGAAAGGTCGCTCATCAGGTCCAGCAAATCGTTGACAACTGGCTGCTGGGCTTTAGGCTGTGACGGCGCGCTGGAAGAAAGATCTCCTCCTAGCAAGTCCATCACGTCCATCACCGCTCCAGATGTATTAGTGGACTGTTGGGTAGGTTGCTTTCTCGTCATCGCTGCAGGGGCGTCAGGTTTGGGTTCATCACAAGCACTGCACTGCGTGGAGTCGGCACGATTGCGGAGTGTGCATTGAGGGCAGTCCCATCCACCGTCGTCCTCTTGATCTTCCAAGCCCCAACCGCCAATCGCTGGCTCCTTGGCCCTGGAAACAGCTTGTCGTCCCGTGTTAACTAGAAAGCTCGAAGTGGGCTTGTGATATACGGAAGCCAAGCTACTTATCTGGTGGAGAAGCAGATCTAGAAGCTGGTTGTCAACTTTTTGCGGATCGTATTGCACCGTGGAATGTTCTGCCAGGACTATGATCTTTGCCTTCTCCGGGTCTGTACTAAGCAATCTCCAGTAAATGTACCCGCGATCTCGAAGGTCAGGATTGTTGCTTTTGGTCGTCGCTAGTTGCAAAATTTCTTTCACCGTCCCTTGCGTGTTGGAAGGTCGCTTGAGGAACAGCTTCACAGTAGCAGTTAGAAGCTGAAGCTGCACATCAACATCCAGATCTGCAAATTCCTCGATGAAAGCCTCCAACAACTCCTTTGCATTCTCAATCCGCTCAGCATATTGACCGATGATCCATATCAAGGCCCCTTTGGCCTCAGGGTGTTCCAGGCTGCCAAACAAAAGTCAAATGATTTCAAGTGACAAATTAAAATGAAAATACCTTTCAAGATTCTCACACAGTGTCCCTATAACGCTCTCATACTGATTAGGATACTTCCGAAATATATCCTTAATGACAACAATGCTTTCTTGAACCACGTAGGAGACCTTAGTTTGTATCAAATCCAGCAAGATAGCTACACATCGCTCTGCACATCTTTCGATCTTCAAAGCACATTTTCCAATCGCACGAACTGCCTTCCTAACAAAATCTACATCCACCTCAGCAAATGCATATTCTTTAAGTTCCAAAAGAACTTGCTCGACTGTTCTTTCGTTTGCCAACATGACCATCACATCCACCTTCTCAACCTTAACGTAGGTGGGATCATTGTACTTGCAGAAAAAAACCTTGATATCGTTTGCAAGTATGTTGGGCCTTCTTGAGCAGATCAGCTGAATGTTTCGCAAAGCAACATACTGAATTTCGGGCTCAGATGCCAGCAGAGTGACAAGAGGAGGGGAGAGTTTTTTGATGTAAGTCTTAACTGATTCAGCATTGGTACACAATTGCAAGCAACCCAAAACGACTTTGACTGCTGATAGAACAACTGCTGCATTGGCGTGCTGAAGCCTTGGTATGACCCGTTCAATAATGCTCTCTGCTTCCTTCGCGTCTGACGGACGGTAAGTCGAGATGGCATCCAGAATGTACACTTGACCCCACTCAGTGCATTCGTTCAAAGCGCTCAACAATTTCATCAAAGCCTCTGGCGCAAAAGTGAAGATGTCGCTCATACCGCTTGCTTCTGCAATCTCAGTTAAACTTGCAACAGCATTGGCCACTACAGTTGGATTAGGATCTGAGATCAAGCCAATGAGAAGGTCGAGAAAGCCTTGCTCCTTTACCAAATCAGGATTGATGTCATAAAGCTTCGCAACGCACATTGCAGCTGTCTTTCTCACGTATGGATCCTCGTCTTTAAGCGTCTTTAAGAGAGGATTTGTGAGGTACTCAGTGATTTGTTCGACGCGAATGCACCCCATAGTTCGTACTGCCAAAGCTCTTATCAATGGATTGCTATCTGATGCATCCTTTACAAAAGTGTTGACCGCCAAGATGGCTAGATCTGGCTGAGCCTTCGCATAGTTGATGAGATACAAGTAAACTAGTTTCTTCAGCTCCACATTTGGGGTTTGCATACAGTTACAAACATCGGGAAACAGCATGGAGACGTCTTTTCCAACAGTCATTGCAGCAATCACCTTCTTTACAGCTTCTTTCTGCTTTGACTTATCATTTGTGTGCAGTTCTTCCTTGAGTTCATGTATCTCCCCTCTCTTAGTGGTCTGAAAATATTTCGCATCCGACATCTTTCAGTTTGATGTGACCACGCCAGGACAATTGAGATTCTGGTTCTTCAAAATTCCATCGGATCTGCGTCAAACCTGTACCAAGAAAACGAGAAGAAAGATCATCAGATCTGCAGTCATGCAAGGGCTGGAATACAGCCAACAAATCATGTTGTGATTCGCAACCCATAAGTCGGAAGCTAATCATATTCTCATTCGAGTGCTAAACATTGGCAGGTGGGAAACTCCAGAAAACGAGTAGTCAGCCACAAAGCGAGAGCAATGTCTGTGTTCCTGAACTGACTAATTCACGACTACCTTTATCGAAACGAAGAATCGCCAATGCAAGGATGAAACTAACTCCGCTGCGAATACACGATTTTTATCATAAGCACTACTGTGTTGACATTCGCATGATCAAATATTGTTCCTACGTATCAGAAATAAGCATGGCGACTAAGGAGGCAGGGGTTTATGGCGGGGCAGGGGGGCAAATGCAGGAATAGGATAAGACAGATGCCACATCTTGGGAAGGTTGGGGAGTGAAGATAGGGAAGATAGGGAAGATAGGGAAGATAAGGAGACAGGGAACAGAAGAGGGACAGGGAGGATAGGGAGGATAGGGAGGATGGTGATGGGTGAGAGTTGTGAGCGGGGAAGGAGGAACATGAACTATAACATCTACTGCACAAGAATGACACAACATCAATCGCGCGCCGCGTATGTGGAAGGTGGTCGTTATATCGGTTACAGATCCGCTGTCATTCCGTTTCATCGGAGTTACAATTCTGAACATAGCGGTTATCTATCGTTACGTTTGCGTCATATAGGGCGCGGGCATGGGGTCCCTTGTGAAGCATGTAGCGCAAAGAGGCAGAGAAGCGAGCAGAAAGATGCAGAGAACCCTCTCGTCGCAACTCAGACCTCTAGCCTACACCACGTTGACTCCTTCCTTCTCTTCCGACTCGTTTTGCGCCCCTCTCTTGGTTCGGGGATGCTTGCCCACAAAAAGTCGCTTCAGCACCAGTGGCAATTGCAGACAATCTTTGTCATGTCCAACTGTTCCATCGAACCTTCTCCGCTGCTGTTCGACACTGCGCGGGACTGCATGTGATTGGCGTGCCATGTCCTCGTCAGGAAAGAGTGTTGAAGTTGGAGATGACTATGAGAAAGGACAGGATGATCCAACGTCCATTCTTGAAGTGCAGATGCCGTTTGGACATGACGAGAATGTGGATTTAGCCAAGCAGCTTGGAATATACAAGGTGAAAATGAAAGAAGAAGGCTTCGGAATGTTCTTATCTCACACCCTTTACAGGTGTATGAATATAGTGACGGAGATGCGATCTCCCGAATCACCATGTCCTTTCAAAAGGTTTCTCTTCGCCTTTGGTATTTTCGCCTTTGATTCCATTTAGAGGGGGAATCTTTCTGCAGATGTGCAAACACTTGAAGCATTCTGTGCAGCGGAAGCAAAGAGCATGACGCAACGAGTTGAAGGGTGCTCGATTTCTACTGTTGCATTTCCAGAAGATGTCACGAAACACTTTAACGATATTAAGGTTCTTCATTAATATTGCTCGTCGATGCTCTCCGTGTCCTTATGAATGAATGATGCTTTCTCCTCAGGTTCCTTTCCTTGCTCAAGCTTTTCGGACAAATTCAGATCGCATCTCTGATAGTCTGGTCTTCTTCTTCGAAACGCCAGGAGGTGCTTTCACTCTCTTCTTCTCCTTGTTCTAGTTTTCTCTTTCGCCGTGCATAGACTGCATGCTTATACCCCATCATCCCTTGTCCTCTGACTCTGCTTTCACAAAGGCTTCTGGTCCATTGGGTGGTACGTGCCGGCTGAACTCTTCTCGAAGGTTATCCGACTCAGGATTTATGTGACCTAGTGACAACTTGACGTGATGCCCAGGAACCGGATCTTTTCTTCTTCTTCCTTCAGTCTATAAAAGTGAAGCCAAGGCAGAGCGTATTTGCCCAATAAAATATCTGGGCCACTCTCTACCGCGAGTGAGCTCTGCACACCGTCACTGGCACGCCGCGGCACCACGGTGGCTGCGGCAGCTAGCCTACAGTGGCAGGCTCCGAGTCCCAGTTTCAGTTCTACACATCCCTTTGTCGGAGCATCTATGGCAGCGAATCATGGGCAGCAAGGAGCTTGCTGCAGACTGCATTGCGGGAGCCAGTGAGCCTGGCCGGGGCCCGCCGGTGACACCGATGGCCGCTGCACAGGCTGTGGCGGCCCACAGGCCCGGCCCGGCGGCGGCCGCCGTGAGTAGTAGCAGTGATAAAATCCGAGTCCCCCTCAGTGAATTTAGGCAGTGGAGGCAGCAGTGTATTCCTAAGTATGCTCTTACTTTAAACCTACTACAGGGGCTGTAGGGGCGAATTGGCGCCAGCGCGCGGGAAGGAGACGAGGAATGGGAAAGAAGCGAAGCTAAGCGGCGGGAGCAGGAGTGAGGCGAGAAGAGCATCGAGCATGCGATGAATGCGATGAAAGGTAGAGAGAAATCTATCAACAGCGTCAGGCTTAAAAGCATGAGTCGTCGATCCTCGGGGCCCCAACGGGCGCACAGCATGGAGGAGGATTTGGACGCAATTCTCACGGGACTTCAGCTATGCCCGGAGGTGGTCGCAGATGCCATCAGACAAAAATCCAGAGAAACATCAAAAGAGTCGTCACACTTGTCTTCCTTTCCGTGAGACTGCTTCTTCTCGTTCTCACATCCTACTGACATCGGAAGCAGAGATGAGAATTCGTCGCCCCAGCAGTTTTCAAACAAGAAAGCAGACACCAAAGAAGGGCAAGCCCTCGAGAAAGAGAAAAGCAATCCTTTCAAAGATGAAACTTCATCGTGGAAGCAAAGCACGAATGCAAAACTCCTCGATTTGATGGCTTCTTATGATCAGGGGCAAAGTAAAAGCACCAAAAGAAAAGATTCCGATTTAAAGCCTTGCAAAGTATGCAAGTTTCTCTTCTTCCAGGACAAAAATGACGGGCAAGAGGGTGTATGCACAGCATGCAGGCTGAAGGAGAAAACCGCGACAATGGTCTTGTGTCTGCTGTGCGATTTTGCGCCATGCTAACTGTCACGTTTGGCAGGTTGATATTGAAATATCTCAAGACTCGACCGCGGGAAACTGCACGCATATTGAATCCAAGTGGTTGCCATCATGCGACTCCGTTTCCGCGAAGAACGAAGAATATTCCTCGATGTACAAGGCGCTCTTTGTCAGACATACACTTTTCGGCTTTTTCTTTTTCGGTTTCGTGTTGCTATGTCCGTTAGTAACTGTTGGACGATGGTCCTACCTGTGGAGTCTGCCGAGACATTCACTCACAGCTTCTTCTGCGTCTTTTTCGTATTCTGCTCAGCCTCTCTTGCACTCCGAGGATGACAGTGAAGCAAAGAAGAATGCCACGGTTCAGGTCCTTGAGGTTGGCACTGCGCACATGACCTTGCTTCCTTTGTGATCCTGACATTGTTTCAGGCTTCTGCTCCCCCAGACGGCAAAAATAAGCGGAAAAATAAGCGGAGGCCTGAGGAATTGGTCGTGAAGCCAAATATCACTTCTAACACGCGCGGCAAATTCAGCGTCTTGAAATCACGTTGGTCAATCATACCAGTCAATGTGGCAAGACAGTTTATGAGATCTATCTTGTTTTCGTTTATGATTTTGGCTTTTGACGCTATTCTCTTTATTTAGCGACTGATTTGAAATATTTGGTCACTTCGTGTATGAATAAAAATTGCATCATGTTTATACAGCCTCTCCAGACCTAAGACCAGCGGTGAGTTTGAACTATACTGTCCAAGCCGCTGTTTTAAGGGGAGACTAACGCAGACCAAATTCAATTTCGCAAATCTTGAAATAATTCGTTACGTGAAACGGTTTGAAACATAAATATTTGTATTCTGAGAGCTCAATATAACATCCAATATCCAATTTTACCCTCATTTTCTTCGCGTTACAAGAAGATGCTGCCAAGGCGCTAGCTACCGACGCACAGAAGGACGGAGGAGGTTGAGATCCTCCAGTTTTCCTTTGCAGAAAGCAAGGCTATCATGTGTACTAACCGGGTTGTGTATACCATACCAAAGGAATCGACGGTTCTCAATGCATAGTATCCCTTGCGAGTGAAATAACGTGCAGCTCTGTACGACTCCATTCCTTTGATACAATGCAGTTTAATCAGTACTCCATCAATGGCACCGATGCATCTATCAAAAACGCCACGAGAATATTTCATCTTGAAGCCTGTGGCGATGCTTTGCAAAGCATTCGTGTCCTTCAAATCAGGATATCTGATGCGCAAGGGACGGTCACAATTCGAGATGGCCACAAGTACTTCATTCTTGCGCACAATCAGAGACTCAATGGAAGTGATGAATCTTTAAATATGAGCCACCTGCCAGCCATCTGATTATCATGGACAGTTTCAACTCCGCCGTGATACACCCATATGGACTGCCCCTCCTTCCATGTTCCTCTTTGCCAGTAATATCATTACGAATGAGAGACAAAAGATGTTAGAATGCAGTGCGAGACATTCGATAGAATATACGAAATTGATAGTCACTGAAAGTTCTTTGAAACTCGTACCAATCAAGCCTCTTCCTGCTCATATTCCTCTTCGTCCAGTTGCCGATCCTGTTCCCTTTCCGAAGATGTCTCTTCTTCTGCGGTGGACCTAAGGTCTCAGTTTCGTCACTGGACGATTCGGAAATGGTTTCTTCTCCATCACTGCAGGTAAATTCATAATCATCCGACCCATCATTGATGGGTATGTTATCCACCAGCGACATGCCCGTCCCGCCTTCCATGGCAGGGAGGGGCGACGAAATTCGGAAATTGCAAACGCATCGTTTGAAATTCAAATATAATGAACTTTTAGTTTGATTTCAATTTGCTTTTTCGACCTCGAGCACGAGTTGACTTAAAATTAGTACCAGAATGAAATTGAATTTGGTCTGCGTTAGTCTCCCCTAAGCCAATTCTGACCGTCGGTCGCATTGCCGCTTATAGTCCGACACTGATGACTGTGGAAAGTGCGGTAATCCGAGCCACTGACAGTGAGGCATCATGCCGCAGTGCGGTAGTCCATCCGAGCGCCCCCCGGCGGCGGCCGCCCGGCCGAGTCACTTGACTCGCACAGCGGCACTGTGAACTTGCCAGTTGGAAGCCCGGCCCGGCCCGGCCGGTGCCGGCCCGATCCGGGATGGTATTCGCCGCTTGGCTCGCGGGCAGTGCCCAGGGGGTGGGTGGTTCAAGCGGTTACTATGTGTAACGGTGGCGTGTTGAGAATTTGAAAATTCCAAATGTAGCCAAGCACAAGGCAAAGAGCAATGTGAACAGGCAGCGGCGAGAGTAGAAGATGGGGGCAAGAAGAACACGAGAAACCAGAGAATCTATGAACTAACATGGTTGACTTCAATTATCTCAGAAGATACGCAATGGACACTCTAATGCAACTGTTGTTCTTTTGGGGTTTTGATATGAACCGACAAGGCATGATTCATCAGAAAAAATATGAGCCATTTGTGAAGAATAGATGCCAAAGAGCTGTTGTTGTTCATGATTTCAGAAAATTTTGTTTCAATAATAGTATATTCATCAATAGATATGCAGGTTAATTACGAAATTTGATCATCTCTCAGAAACTGCTTGAAAGAAATGATGCGTTTTCAACCAGGAAAGCAACACAATTACAGGGTATCTAACATGTCGCAGGTGACATCAGATTTAAGTTTGTATTTGGAACTACCCGAAATCAGAAAGACACAATTTGTATGAAATTTGTAAGTGATGAAAGAAGACTTCTGTTTGAGAGAACTGACGCGCACTTTTAGCTTCGTGTTTTTTGAATGAGTTCTTCCCTTTCTTCATCGGGCTTTTATTCCCGCATGTATCACACTGACACTCAAGCAACGAACAAGAACAACAACTCCAAGACCGTCAAGGCAGCGCAAAGATCTGCTCCCAAGGGAATGTGGACCAAAGAAGAGGACGAAACTGTTATCCGCCTGGTCGAGCTCTATGGGCCCACAAGGTTATTCTCTTCGCCTCTGCCTGTCCCCTCCTGATCAGCGGATCAGGTGGGCGTCCATCGCTTCGAACCTTCCTGGGCGGAACGGGAAGCAATGCAGAGAGCGATGGCACAACCAATTGGACCCAGCCATTAAGAAGGAAAGTTGGACGGAGGAGGAAGACCGTATTCTGATGCAAGCCCATGCTGAGGTGCTCTGCCCTACTTGCTGCTCTTCCTTACGAGAGTCTCAGCTGGGAAGTGCTTGGGTGGAAATCTCCAAGCGTCTGCCCGGGAGGACCGACAACGCGATCAAGAACAGATGGAATTCATCGATGAGTGAGTGATTAGATGCCGAGCTTTCACTCATCTCGTCGCAGGAAAGAGATTCATGGCCGCGGAAGAGTTTGCCAAGAAAGATCCTCCGAAACCTGCAGGTTTATCTCTTCTTGCATATGCAAGGCAGCTGGGTTGATGGCCTTGCAGACACTTGCAGCAAAGTGAAGAAGGAAGACAAGAGAATTGAGGAGAAGAATTTGCCAGTAGCCAACAACAGGATCAACCCCCCCAACTCGAACTCCAAGGACCTCAAGGTCTCCCGCTGCCTCTCTCCCTTGTCGATAATTGATTTCTTTTCAGGAGTCGAATGTTTCCTCCAAGCTCACGACAACTTGCCGTCCTATCGCCGTGCTCAATGCGTCTTCTGTGCGATCGAAGCGGCGGAAGCTGGAAGACAGCGAGGTGAGAGGAAGACCTCTCTTTCCTGCTCTGCCTTGACATCAACCAGGTCGAGACGCTTGGGAGCATCTTAGGCTCCACTCCGAACCCTGCGAAAATTCTCTTCTCGCCGGAAGAGCACAGAAGCAGTTCCTCCTCTGCGCTGGACGACACCGTCATGTCAGACCAACCCACCATCTTCATTAAGAACGAGACAAGCTCCATTCACTCGCCGACTTCTGCTGAGTCTCCTTCTGCTGACTGTCGACCTCGTGAGTCGAAACTTCCACCTGCTGGTTCAGCTGATGTCTTTTCAGGTCAAATCTTCCCTCCCTCGGCAGAGAAGGACAGCAGCGACCTCGAGAACCTCACCACGCACACCCCGAAGTGTTCCTCTCTCCATCCCGGCGCTGGCTTTCTCTCAAGGTTCTGCTGTCTCCTCTCCTGACTGATCTCCTGACCTTGCCTCCCAGCGTGAAGCGAGGGAGGCATGACCTGTTCGAGGCCGGCGGCCTCTTCTCCCCTTCCACCTTCTTTCGTTCTCCTGTGGCCGAGAGTCCCTCGAGCGTAAGCTGTTATCCTCCTCCTCCTCCTACACCTCTGCACACCCGCACTGACCTCCTCGCAGCGAGCTCAGGCGAAGGGATCGAGGAAGAGACCGCTGGTGTCTCCCAGCGCAGGTGAGGGGAAAGTGGTTTGATGGGCAATTGCTGAGTGCGATTAGATGTCCGTCGCCCCATCCTCTTCTCCCCGTCGGAGGAAGTACCAGGAGCGGACCAGGTGAGAGGCGGGAGGGGAGGGAGAAAGAGGCTGAGGCAGCCGCAAGGTCCCATGCTTCTCCTCGCTGCTTCTCGACTCTGCACAGAAGCATTGAAGACTGCAGAGTGCGCATGATCCAGGAAAGGAACGAGTGAAGGGCCTTCAAGTTCAGAGAAATTTGCTTACGTTAAACAACATTCTTGATCGCTCCAATAATGTACACGCCTCTTGTTCTTTGCAGTCAGATGAAACCATTGCCCTCTCCCTGCTGCTTCAGTCAGTCATGAATTCTTGCTTTACTTCCCCACCTTGCTCGGTGAGCTTTCCACATCCGCTTCCAGGGAGCAGGAGCGAGGCAGCTCCAAGGACGAGCGGTTTATGTTTCCTGCAGCCCCGTGAGCGCTCGAGCTTGTCAGCCCTCCAGCTCTCACCGTCAGGGTCGAGGTGGAAGGGAACCAAGCTCTCGCCATGGCAGACCATGTCGAGGCCGCTCAGCTCGTCTTCAATGGCTGCAACCCCGTCAGCACTGGCGTGATGTTGCGCCTGCCAACTCTCACCAACTCGCAGCCCGAGCGTCATGTCGACCAGCTGGAGAAGAAGGTCAAGAGCAGCGAGCGGAAGGGACGGAGACCTTGAGGAGGATGTAGGAGACAATGAGGGACCAGATGGCAGAAAAGGCGACTCCGTACATCTGCAGGTAGATCTGCTTCGGGTTCCCGTAGAAGGCCCCGTTCTTGCCAGATCCCTTCCCGGTGATCTCCTGGCACGAGTCTTCAACTTCAGCTGTCCCACCCACCCGGGCTCACCTCAGTCGCGAAGAAGCCGGTCAAGATTCCTCCCAAGGCTCCTCCAGGCGCATGGATGCCGAAGGCGTCGAGCGCATCGTCATAGCCGAAGCGATGTTTCAGCTGAGCCGCAAAGTAGCAGACGGGCCCAGCTAGAAAACCCATGCAGAACGCGCCCGTGACATTGACGTAGCCTGCTCCGGCTGTGATGGTCACCAAGCCAGAGAACATGCCGCTGATGATGCCCAAGACACTCGGTCGCTGCCGACAGGAGTGAGATTGTAGCGACGAGGAGAAGACCTGCCACGTCGACTCCTCACCTTGCGGATCATCCACTCTGTGCACATCCACGTGAGTGATGCCGTAGCTGTCAAGGATCATTTCAGTATCTCAACATGCATGTCCAACTGTTGCAATCCTTTCACCTGCCGCCAGGTTTGTGTTCAAGACAGACGTTGCTGCCAGTCCGCTGACCTCTCAAGTCAGATTCCCCTCCTTCCCCTCCTCCCCTTTTCCCCTATTCCTCTTCTAACCTTTCTCCCTATTTCTCTTCTAAACTCGCATACCTGGTAACTCCGGTAGGTTGCCCGGGGTATCGTTCGCCCAACGCCGATCCTCCGTTGAATCCGCACCATCCCACCCAGAGCAGCGACGCCCCCAACACTGAAGAAGCACGGCGAGCATATCATTTTTCCCTCCTCCCCACCATGTGTCAAACTCACCTGAGATCAATATGTTGTGGTGGCTAAACACCTCCCTGCCGTACCCTGCTCGTTTCCCCACCACAATGCTAGACATCAGCCCTGCACACCCGGCAGCCACGTGTACCACATTCCCTCCTGCAAAGTCCATGACGCCTGCACTGTGCAAGAAGCCATCCGTCATCCAGGTAGAGTGTGCGATAGGACAGTAGACCAGCAGGTGCCACAGTCCGATGAAGACGAGCATTGGCCCGAACCTCATTCTGTCTGCAAATGCTCCGCTTATGAGCGCCGGGGTGATGATCGCAAAGGTGAGCGAGTAGACTACGAAGAGAGGCTCGGGGATAGACGGGAAGAGGGGATGGAACCCCGTTAGCTTCACCTTTTGCAGCCAAAACTTCTGGTGGCTTCCAAAAACTTTCCCTCCAGTGTCAAAAGCAAGGCTGTATCCAAAGAGAACCCACAGGATCGTTATCAGGCACGCAATGCTGAAGCTTTGCATCACGGTCGAAAGGACATTCTGAACGCGAACTAAGCCTCCGTAGAACATGGCGAGGCCGGGAATCGTCATCATGAAGACCAAGGCGGAGGAGGTGAGAATCCATGAGACATCGCCCGACTGGAAAGCTGGAATGCTGTTGCTGGTGGAGATGTTCTTTTGCAGCTGAGAAATGGTGCTCTCCAGCGCTTTGATCTTCTCTAGGATCAGGTCACTGTCTCGGAGCGAAGACTTGGCATTGGGAAACTCCTTCGATTTGACGGCTTCCACGCTTGCTCTCAATGCCGGAGATTGTGGTTTCACCTTCCAATCCACTTGTCCTTCAGCACTACACGAGACCAAGAAGATGACAACGGAAAAATACTTGAGAACGCAGTACAAAAACCGTGGCATGCTTAGATTTTTCATGTCGCGAACACCACAACTGTCTTGTTGGAAATCAAACTCATTGCGACAAGTTGGCGAGGCTCTGAGAAATGGGAAAAAAAGTTAGATGTGATAGATGATATCAGACTCGCATTGCAAATGAACGATCATTATTCAACGCAGCCTGCGGATTCCGGTCTGTTCTTGCTTTTCAGATGTTTGAGACGGTAGCAACAAAGCGAGATGAATGTCACACTTCACAGGAAGGAAAGAAATTGAAATAGTGGCTAGTATGCAGCGTGTTGGGTATGAAGGTCGAGGTTCAGTCCGAAGATTCAACAGCATTCAGTGTGAGGAGCTAGCTATGGTTTGAATGTAACTACCTCAATAGTTGCAATGATGCCAGGGAGAGCTATAGACAGTCACCAACATGGTTATGGTCAAAAATGGGTTAATACATCAAAATTCTGAGCAGGGAGGACGTCAAGTAATGGAAAGATGGCCAGTGATGAGGAAGAAACATGATGGACGAGGGATGGAGGGACTGAGTGTAGGATGAAAGGAGGAAGAAATGACAGAGAAAGATGGGGAAACAATCAAGCAAAATGTAAGCGGTGGAGAGAGGTGGAGAGAGGTGGAGAGAGGTGGAGAGAGGTGGAGAGAGGTGGAGAGAGGTGGAGAGAGGTGGAGAGAGGTGGAGAGAGGTGGAGAGAGGTGGAGAGAGGTGGAGAGAGGTGGAGAGAGGTGGAGAGAGGTGGAGAGAGGTGGAGAGAGGTGGAGAGAGGTGGAGAGAGGTGGAGAGAGGTGGAGAGAGGTGGAGAGAGGTGGAGAGAGGTGGAGAGAGGTGGAGAGAGGAGAGTGAGAAGAGTGAGGGGAGTGAGGAGAGTGAGGGATACTGGACAGCACGGGGAGGGTTGAAGGCATCACGATCACGCGCTTGCTCCCTGCTCTCCCCTTCACTAGCGGCTAGCAATCTCCAGGATTGGGGGATGCTGGTCTAGTCAATAGGGGGTAGGGTGGGATCAGTACGGGTACATTCATCTGGTTTTAATACGACCCGGGTACTTGTAGTGCAATAAGGTCTATTCAGGTGGGTCCGAGGTAGACCCCGTGGGTCCAATGTTAACCCAACAATAGGGATCGAACTGGTTGTGATAGGTGGGTGGTATGTTATTTGGAGCTAGAACCATTTAGTTAATAAACAATTCTGTACAACATATTACGATTATAAGTATAATAATAATGTTAAATAAAAATGGTACAGTTATATAAATGAATATATTCTGTTTATAGGTACGAAATATCCATACCTCGTCTTATCGATCACGATCCCTCGAGCTTGATGTCGAACTGATTTTGTTTCACCTACGTACTGGCCGGATACTTCGGTCATTGCCGGGCCAACCTCAGTGGGCGGCTGCCAGTGAGCGCCGGCCGGGCCCGGGGCATCTGATCCTGGGCCGCGCCTTTGCCACCGTGCCGTGACGGTTTCCGACAGTGCCGCAAGTATTACTGCTTGAAGAGTACGGTACTGTAACTTGTGACGCCGCTAGTCTCACGCCGGTCCTCAGCCACGGTGCCGCGAAGCCCGGGCCTGAGTCGCTCTACTAGGCGGCCGGGCTACCGTACTCGACGGTGACCGCCCCGTATCACCGTGGCACCGTCACTGCCTCAGTGACAGTGTACGGTCGCCGTCGCCGGACTCGGTGACTCCGCCCCCCGCGGCGGCGCGTTGGCAACCCGGTTGAACCGGGTGAAGTCACTGAACTCAGTTCTGAATCGCCGCGGCCAGCCTGACGGTGCCGCCGGCCTAGCGGCGCGCCTACTCAGTGAGTAGTAGACAAGTTTGTTAGAGTGGCCGCGCGACCGGGCCGTACCGTACTGCAGTGCACAGCGGCATCATCCCGCCGCGATCTCGCCGCCCGGCCGGCCCGGGCCCTGGGGCCCGCCCCGCGGCAATGTTGGCAGGCGACCGTGACCGTATAGTACGGCGGATCCGCCGCCGGGGCCCGGCAGCGGATGCAGTTCAATTCTTCAACTTTTGGCAAGTCCGAATCATGTTTCAAGTGTCACAGTGTGCAGTGCTGTCACGGTGGGCCGCGCTCCGAGGCTCAGTCCCGGCCGCAACTTAGAAGCCGGCGGCGCCGCGCCCTGGCACTCACGGTCGGCCCCGGCGTACGGCACTGAGCTGGCGGCGCGGCCCGGCCCGCCGGCCTGCCGGGGGGGGCCGGTCAGCCATCATTCAAGCTCGCCGAATGTTTTCCCGGATTTGCCTACTGTGATGGGGTCCACATTTGATGGGACGAGTGAGAGAGAGGAAGCCGGGGAAGAATGGCAGTCAGTGAGGCAGAACTCAAGATTGCTTGAAGCAATGCTAGTCCAGCTGTCACAGAGTGCATGCCCGGATAAATGGAGACTGATTGTGATGTACAGGTTTCCATCCCTTGTCTCTGACCTCATCCTCTGGCTTTGAATGGATGTCTGTGCCAGTGGCTATTGTCATGGACAGAAATATATCGAAGTTCGTCTGAGGTCCTTTCCCTCCCTTCCCTGGTTACAATGAAGAACAAAGAGAGCAAGCGACTCTTTTCGACTTACAATTCATGCATTGCCCTTTTCAGGTCAGCTGGATTGAGGGGAACGAGCAAGTGGAGACTGATTGATTGCAGGAGATTATCCAAGTCTACCAACACCAGGGATTTGTGGGTGCGATGTGCAGTCTTGACAGCAACGGTTGTCTTCCTGGCATCGATGATGTGGCACTGGATACCTCAGAAGACAAGTCTGAATACGGAACATAGAGCACAACCATCGTCTCAGCCTGCAGTTGCGAGAGCGAGATGCTCACCGACTGTTGACATGCATCACGTCGGCTCATGCAAGCCATTCGCATCATTCCAGCAAGATTGCAGTTTGTCGCCCGAACAAGCGTACTCTCGCATACTGACAGCGGCTGCGGCGGCTCTCAAGGGCGAAAAGGTGAGGGAAGTGAAGCAAGGGAACGGAGTTACTCTGATCAATGAGTATCTTCCAACCAATGTTTGGTAAAGAAGCCATGGCATGTTTCACTGAGTGACAAGTGCCGTAGGGTGCTGTCTGGAGACGAGCTGTTCGTGTTCCCGACTTGCGAGGTCGGTGATACCTTCGACATCCCGCTGCCATCGGCCAACAGGAATTCCATCGCAAAGGTAAATCGTGAGAGGTTTAAGGCAGTTGAGCGACTCGTCACCTTACTCAAGGTGAGGAGTATCTCCCCGCGGGTCCTCGAAGTAGAAGATTTCCTCACTCCCGAGGAATGTCACGAACTCATCTCGTCGGCGAAGCCGTTGATGTCTCGGAGCACAGTAAGCGCAGAAGGTGACTCAGCGGTGTCGCTTCAGGTGCATGGAAGTGGCAGTGTGGGCAAGAACTGAAGATCTCGTGATGCAGGAGAGCTCGCGGACCTCCAGCACAGCTTGGCTTCCACCCCACTCGCACACCCTTGCCAATAAGCTGTACGACAGAGTTTCGAGCCTTGTTGGCATTGATTTTCGAAAGCACGAGCATGTCGTGGTCGAGGATTTACAGGCAATCGACAAGAGGGGTGGAAGTAGCGTAACAGCCTGGCAGGTTCTTCGATACGAAGTGAACCAGCACTATCACATTCACCAGTACATAGATGCCTGAGTTTGAAAGCCGGCCCTCACATTTTCTACAGTGACTACTTCGACCCTGTGCTGCATCGCGGCTTTCTACAAGGAGACGGCAGGTCGGCATGGATGTCTTATTGACCGTGAAGAACTATTTATGTTTATGTGGACAGGAACCGATTCATTACTGCCTTCTTCTACTTAACCGATGTTGAGCGTGGTGGCGAGACATGCTTCCCCATGACAGGCAAACTATCTTTTACGCCTGCTCTCCGACCTCACTTCCCCAACCACTCTGCTTTCCCTGTTCCGAACTCCCCTCTCCACCACCCTGAATCAAGTCCTTCGGTACCCCAAGCTCCCCCCCTCCTCCCTCCTCCCACGAGACGAAATCCGCTTCTTTTCCTGCTCTTCCTCTGCTGTCACAGCTCACAGTGCAAGAAGGTGATCCTCGGCCCATCACCGACTACTCCGACTGCAATCGCGGGCTGCGCGTCCCTCCGAAGCGAGGCAAGGCAATCATTTTCTACTCGCTGCTGGCCGATGGACAGGTTCGACCCACAGCCTGCCAGCATGTGCCTGACATGTCCCACAGAGAAGCGGAGGACTCGATGTCGCCTCCTGGCATGGCGGGTGCGACGTTCACAACGGAACGAAGTGGGCAGCGAACTACTGGATCACTCTCAAAGGGGTGCATCCTCAGCGTTGAGAAGAAGTTGCTGATTCGAAAAGATTTATTTTCAATGTAATAGAATGAAACGATTTGTTTTATTTCTCGTAACACCATGAAACCATCTCTCTTCGTCCCAATTGTGTTTTTAAAAATGATTAATTGCAATTGAGTCGTAAACCTTCTGTTTTCGCGACGGTTGGAGGAATTAAAAAATACTTTTTAAAAGGGGTCAATGGGGGAAAACAAGAGAGGAGGGGGGCGATCCGGGGGGGTAGGGGTTGTAGAAAAATCGGGGTGATAGACAGGCCATAAGGGGGTAGGTGCTGGCATAAGCAAGGGGTAGGGGTAATCGTCCCTTTATGTAGATTGGGGGTAATGTAAAGGAAAGGGTAGGGGTAGCACAACAGAACCGAAATCACAGGATTTGCTGGGAGCGGTCCAGGGTAGTAGAGCATAATACAGGGGTAGGGGGTAGGAGGGTGCTATAGATATAGAAGGGTAGGGGGTGATGGAGTCGGATTTTCGCGGCCGCGGGAAGTATGGCAGGGAGGTGAGGACAGGCAAGAAGAAAGAAGCAACAGAAGCATAAGATAAGGAGCTGTTGAGGGTCAGAGGAAACGAGCAACGAAGCGAGGAAGGAGAACAAGAAGCGAGGAAGGAGGATCAGTCGGAGGAAGAGTCTTGAACCAGTCGACCACCTTGCTTCATCAATTCGTACCGATGGATTCTGCTCGCACACTTCAAGTTGTTCTGCTTGTCGCATGCGGTAAGATTCGTGTGGTTTCAAACATTTTGTCTATTGCGATGAGATTACTCGTGACCTACTGTTTGTCTGCTTTGGACATTGATTGTAAATAAATCGCTTGTGCATGTTGTGATATTTCTATTTTTAATCGAGCTAGCATCAAACTTGACTGACTTGTGCTTCAGGTCTCCTGGAGGTCACGGCCTACAGTTCACTTGCCTTGTCGTCGCCTGCTAGATACCTGACCTTGCAAGCTGATGTAGTGCGAACACCACGGAGGGCGAGCATCTTGTCTATGCGACAAACGCTCTCGTCCGATGAAGAGACGAAGCAGTCGCTGCATGGAGCAGCCAAGGGTCACGACCATGGCCATCACGCCCACCAGCTTCCTCCCTTGCTGAGCCCAAAGATGTTCCACACAGGCACATCAGCTGTGAAGTCACAGGAGATCAAGGATCCGGACATGATGGACAACTTTCTCACCGGGCTGTTCCAGGTGCTTCTTCCCAACCCCTCTCATTTGATCAATGTGTGCTGACTGCCTGATCGAAGATCGGGGGAAAGTTTCTGTGGCCAAACGACAAGGCTGTCTTGGCGGTGGGACACATCAACGATCTCATCGGCGATCGTCCCATGTTCATGCCGCTCAACAAGTACTTCCGCGAGGTTTGGACGACTTGCCTCAGATGCTGCATCCCTCTACTCAGCATGCTCCCTTCTCCTCTCTCCCTCGCCCTTTCTCTCCCCAGTTCTTTATCCTGTGAACCGCCGTGTTCCTCTTACTCCCTGTTTCTGCGACAAACCACGGAAGTCCTCACTTTCCTCCCTCCCTCCCTCCCTCCCTCCCTCCCTCCCTCCCTCCCTCCCTCCCTTGCCATCTCGATAGCTGCTCCTCATGCTGCATTCTTACGTCATCTCACTTTGTCTGGCAGTATGGAGGAGTTTACAAGCTTTCCTTCGCTCCTGTGCCACAAGCAACCTTCTACGTGCTCTCTGACCCACACGCGATCAAGCACGTTCTGAAAGAGAGTCCCAACGACTTTGACAAGGTCTCGAAGCTCGGGGTAGTCTGCCAGCTGCTGACGCATGGACAGGGTCTGCTATCTGAGATTCTAGAGCCCATCCTTGGAAAAGGTCTCATTCCCGCAGACCCCGAGACCTGGAGGCAGCGACGCCCCGTGATCCAGGTGACGCAGATGTTGTGGTGCTGCTCGATTTCTATATCGCCTGCAATCCGAACATCCGTATCATCGGCATTTTCCTCGTCGTCATCATCATACTCATATTCATATTCATGGTCTTCATCACAAATCATCCCATTGAATTCTTCGGTCGTGTTCTCTTCATCGTGTCTACTTTCCTGTTCTGCTGGCATTCATGACATCTTCTTCAGCCTGGTTTCCACATGCGCTGGTTAGAAAGGATGACGATGACCTTCAATGAATGCGCCTCGATTATGATCGACAAGCTTGAGGGAGAGGCAGATGCCGGGAATCTGGTGGATATGGAAGGAATGTTCAACTCAGTCTCTCTCGATATCATCGGCAAAGCTGTTTTTAACTACGAGTTTGGCTCTGTCACCCGTGAGTCCCCGGTGATCAAGGTAAGTTCGTTCCCCCCTCGATGCGCTCTCAGCTCCGCTCTCGTCCCCTCCGCCTTCTCCCCCTCCTTCATCCCTACTCCTCCCCCTCCGCAGATGCTACTCTCTCCCTTTCCTCCTCAATTCCTCTTCCAGTCTTGTCATCTTTCTCCCGATCTCTGTATGACCTTTTGTTTTCAGGCAGCGTACGCATGCCTCAAGGAAGCGGAGCACAGATCGACTTTCCTCCTTCCCTACTGGAACGTTCCCTTCCTTGGTCAGGGCAAGTTCTCAGTTGTTCCTCGTCAGCGGGAGTTTGCGGCTCACCTGGAGGTAAGATACAGTAGGATGAGGAGGGAGGGAAGGAGAGGAGAGGAGAGGAGAGGAGAGAGGAGAGGAGAGGAGAGGAGAGGAGGGGGCGCAGGACGTAAGGCAGGAGGAGAGGAGGGGCGATGCTGACATCTTGTAGGTGTTGAATGACACGCTGGACACAATCATCCAGAAAGCAAAATCGCTGAAGAACGAAGATGATCTCGAGGCTCTTGAGAGAAGAGACTACAAGAGTATCCAGGTGCTTCAGCATGATCCGATACGTGGACGCTGCTCCTTCTCTCTCCCCACGTGTTGCCCCATCTCTTCTCTTGAGGCTACTTGCTCTCCTTCCCTCCTCTCTCCTCTCTCTCTCCCCCCCCTCCCGCTTCCCCCCGCGTCTTCCTTGAACTTTCTCTCTTGTCCGGAACTTGCATCGCATGCAGGACTGACAGTCTCCTAGGATCCTTCGCTCCTCCGCTTCCTCGTCGACCTGCGAGGAGGTGACTGTAACGACAAGCAGGTGCGGCTGATGAGCGACGTCGCCGTTCTCACCCCTTGCAACAGCTCAGGGACGATCTCATGACTCTCCTCGTCGCCGGGCACGAGACCACAGGCTCCCTCCTCACCTGGACTGCCTTCGAGCTCGCCCAGGTCAGCTGACGCGCATCCCGAACTCAGTCGCTCATCCCTCTCAGAATCCAGCGGAGATGCGGAAGGTGCAGGAGGAGGTCGATCGCGTCCTAGGGGGTCGCAATCCGACCATGGATGATATCAAGAAGCTCGAGTACACGCGGCTCGTCCTCGCCGAGGGCCTCCGCCTGTACCCCCAGGTGAGGATGGAAGAAGGAAGAACTGACGGAGTGGGCGGGGATGAGAGGAGAGAAGGGTATAGGGGGGAGGAAGGGGGCGAGAGGAGGAAAGGGATGGAGAGGAAGGGATAAGGAAGGGGGAGGAGGGGAGGGATGGAGAGAAGGGAGGTAGCTGATGTGTACTTCAGCCTCCTATTCTCCTCCGACGAGCTCTCAAGGAGACGAAACTTCCTGTCGCTCACAGCGGAAGTCACGAGGACCAGGCGAGCAGCGACATGCAGCCATCCGGCGTCTCCATCTCCCCTGGAGCCAATATCTTCATCTCGGTAAGAGGAGGAGGAAGTCAAGGAAGCAAGATCTGCAGAGAAGATGACGGAGAGGAGAAGGGAGGAAGGGGAGAGGAAGCAGAGAGGAGGAGGGAGCAGAGAGGTAACGAGAGGAGGAGGACGGTGACTGTGTTTGCAGGTCTGGAACCTTCACAGGAACCCGAAGCTATGGGACAACCCTGACTCCTTCGACCCCTCCCGCTGGTTGCGCCCTCAGCCCGCTACCAACGGTCATAGCAGCTGGGCAGGATACACCCCCAGGAAAGATATGGGGCTCTATCCCAACGAGAACGACGCCAACTATGGCTACATCCCCTTCGGAGGAGGACAGCGCAAGTGCGTTGGCGATCAGTTTGCGATGCAGGAAGCTGTAGTCATCCTCTCCAAGCTCTTCCAGCGCTTCGACATCGAGCTTGCTGGTGCTTTCTTCCCCCCTGCTTCCTACATCTCCGAGCCCCCCCTCCCTCTTGCTTCTCGCTGCTCCTTTCCCTTCTCGTCTCCTCTCAGCTGCTGACCTCGAGGTCGTACAGGGTCTCCAGAGGAGGTGGGCATGTCCACTGGCGCAACCATCCACAGCAAGAACGGCCTGATGATCCGCCTCAAGAAGAGGAACGTCTGAGTCAGAAGCCTCTGCTCCGGCCCATCACTGTCATCCGACGGTCCCTGAGGTTACTCAGGCCGGGCTTTTCTCCTCAACGTTCTGCTCCTGAGCTTTTGCAGCTCCTGCCATTCAATCTCCTCGTATCCTGCTAGCTTCTGCCCCTTAAGATCAAGCTCCTCCTCCTCCTCCTCCTCCTCCTCCTCCTCCTCCTTCTCCTCCCCTCCCCCTCCTCCTCCTCCTTCTCCTCCCCTCCTCCTCCTCCTTCCTTGGTCCCTTCAGCCGCTTCCCTAAATTTTCCGCCTGTGAGTAGAACAGAGAATGACAACCAATGAGCATCTGACCGTACCTCACTCGTCAACAAGTCGCATACTGCACTTATAAGAGTGCTTTACTCAAAGTTAAGTTAAAATCAGTACGAGGACAATCAGAAAACTTGAAAAAGTTTGAAACTTTACGTTTCAAACTCTGTGCGATACAAACTTTTCAAAGTTCGTCCACAAAGTCATGGGCGGATCCCAGAGCATCATGCGTGCCGCTATGATCCTCTTCCTCTGCCTGTCGTCCTTCCAGTCCCCATCCTCACCCTCCCTTCCTCTCTTTGCTTCCTCCTCCTCTTCCTCCTCTTCCTCCTCTTCATCCTCTTCCCGCTATTTTCTCTCTTCCTCCCCATCCTCGCCCCTCCTCTCCTTCCATCCTTCCCCTTCGTCTCCCGTTCCCTCTCGATACCCTTGCGGTATCCAATCTCAATCCGGGAGACTGAGAGGAGGGGGAGAGACTGTGAGTCAAGAAGAAATCATCAAGCGCTTGAATGAGATAGATGAGCTCTATGCTCAAGGGCAACTTACAGAGGGGCAGATGCAAACTGAGAGACAACGAATCATGGAAGACATTGCAAGAATGCTGGAGCTGAGGGCAGACGATGAGCATGGGGATGACGAGGAGCTGGACGAAAAAGATGATGACTACTACCTTAACTTGACTTCTGTCCGGATAGCGAACAACGAGTTGGCAAAAGCAAATGCCATAGGAAGAAGGGAGTTCGTCCACCTTGGTGACATCTATATGCGCTTGGATGGGAGGATGGAAGTTACAGACGAAGAGCTGAAGTTGCTGCGCCGGAGAAAGATGCGGTTTGCGAGTGAAGACAAGCTGGGATTTGCGGCATTCTGTTTTGCAGAGCCGAGGTGCCTTGCGAACGGGACCGTGGGTCCACAATGCAGGGGAAAGATTCGCCTATCAGGGAACGAGTGGGTGAGCCTGTGTTGTGGGAGAGAGAACTGAATGTTGGCATGCAGAGTCGTGTCCTTCTGGAAGCAAGCGGCTGAGGAGAGATGTAAGGAGCTGCTCGACCCCACCGGAAGACCCTCGGAGGAGATTTCCGGCATTGAATTCGTTGCAAACCGTGACATTGCAGTAGGCGAGCATATCATCAGTGGGTAACCTTTTCTCTTGTCCTGCTGCTGACTTTGCTCCTAGTCTTCTGCTACAACTACACTGGCCCTGAAAATCGAACGATCTTGCCCCTGCGATGTTCGCCCTATGGAAAGCTCAAACGCGCACTGTGGATTCCTGAGAAGAGAATTCTAAACATTACAGTCGAGGAAGACATCTTTGCTGATGAGCCCTTTCACGTGGCGTTCGATTGCGATGTGAAGCTAGTGAAGAGAGCAGATGTGATCGACATCGGAGAAGAAGAGTTCCTCAACTCTTTGTTTGCTTCTCCTCCCATCAAAACTTTCAGCCGCTGGAAAAAGCGGCTCGATGCGGAGCGTGAAGATCTCCTGAACAAATCTGCGGGGATGAGTAAAAATCAGGGATGGGTTCTGAAAGATGAGTCGCTTCCTCTCATCCAACCGGGAACTATCATGCAGCTTGTCAACCTCGAACAGAGGCCCGAGTACAACGGGAAGTTGGTAGCGATGGTGGGACGATCGATGGAGCGGTACCAAGTGCAGATGATCGATACAGGGAGGACGATCTTGGTCCGACCTCAAAACCTTAAGACAACAGATGCAGAAGTTGATGCTGGAAGCATTTCAAAGGCAGAGAGCCAAGCCTGGATCCTGCTCAACCAGTTGTATCCCAACGCAAGGGAGAACATATCCTTCTCAGACAAGCGATTGTACCAGCTCTCTGCAGAAGATCTGGAGATCCTGGAACGGTTGAATCTCAGCTCGTACACCAACAAGTTCTTCTGGGATACGCAGCACAATGATGGAGGGCTGGGGAAGCAGATCATTCCTCCTCTTGGAACGAGAGTCGATGAGATGGAAGAAATCGTTACCGTACCAAGGTGAGTGAGAGGATTGCTCTTGTGCATCTAAATCCCTTGCAGTGCAATCGAGATGCAGTACAAGGATCGCTTTCAACCAAGACAAGCCATCATTGACTTCGGGCTCCAGACTGCAAGTCTGGCCAACAACCCCGCAAGGTCTTCTCCTTCACAATTCTGCATTGTCTCCCCCATTGCGCGTTCCTGACTGACTCCTCGCAGCATCCGAGAGCTCGTGGCGGCAGGCGCAAACTTGAGTACGAGAGTGTTTCCTGGATGTCCCCACGGAGACCACCTTCGCACTCCACTGCATGTGGCATGTTACGAGGGGAAGGAGGAGGCTGCGATGGTGATTTTGCTGCGCGCTAGTGCCTGGCTGAGTTTCCACAGGCGCTGTTGGAGCTCGGGGCGGATCCAAACGCACTGGACGAGACCGAGGCTACTCCTCTCCACATGGCAGGGGTGAAGGGGAGGACACGACTGGTGAAGGAGCTCATGGAGTATGGAGCGGACCCAACCCTCAAAAATAAGTTCAACCACTCCTGCATTCAACGTATGTCTACGTAGATACCTGTAGCTCTATCTCACTCGGTATGCAGGAGCAATCTTCTGGGGTCAGTACGACGCGGCAAAGGCGATGCTGGACAAGGTCGGCAAGGCGTACGACAGGAGCGAGATACGAGATATGAACCGGTACAGTGTACTTCTCTCGAAGAACGTGGAAAGGTTTCGACATGAGGATTAGAGTCGTTTCGCACTCAGTGCGGCAGTGTGGTCAGTTTATGATTCAACTTGGGTGAACTTTGAGTAAATCGCCACCCCAGAATGATCAATGCCAGGATTACGGGCGGCACGGGCTGCACTGGAGTCCCATCGCGGCCGTCGGGCGCTACGGCCCGGCGCACAGTGCGGCAAGCGCCTGAGCCCGGCCTGCCGCGGACTGGCCGCGCCCCGCCGGGCGCCGGTCCCGCCGGCCCCCGGCCCCAAGTTGGGCCCGGCGCCGGCCAGGGACTCCGGAAAGGTCACTGGAGTAACCAAGTAGGTCGGAGTTCTAAGTAGACGTTGATGTCTCCCTCGTTTTCACCTGGGCGAACTTGCTGACCAGCAACAGGCCTCAAGGCGAAGCCGCATGGCAGGGAGGGTGAGCGCCGCCATGCGGGAGGTGCTGGGACAGGCGACGGGGCTGCTGCAGTTTGGCTGCCTCCTCCACTGCTTCCATGAGCACATCCTTGACGTTACCATCTGTATCGGGCCCTCCATGATCCCTACCTTCAACCTGGAGGGTGATGTCGTCCTGGTGGAGTTCTGGACCACGCGGAGGCAGAAGCTTGTGAATGGAGATGTCGTTGTCGCCAAGTCCCCGACAAACCCCAAGCAGACAGTGTGCAAACGAATCTGCGGGATGGTGAGGAAGGAGGAGGAGCAGGCAGAGACGTGCTCACTTTCATGGCAGCCTGGTGAGATCGTCCGAGTGGCCCCACAGCATCCCTTCCAGAGTGCACGGAACTTCCTGGTGAGCAACAGGGGAAGGCAGGAGGGCAGCATGTAGGGGGGCAGCGTATAGGAGGGTAGCGTGTAGATCGGCAGCATGTACAACAGCAGCAACGGCAGCATGTACAACTGCAGCATGTTGGGAACGAGGGCGGGGGAGAAGGCAAGGGGGAGGAGGAGAGGAGGGAAGGTGAGAAGAGGCCGGATATCAACCCTCATGGTGTTGTACAGGTTCCAGATGGACATGTGTGGCTGCAAGGAGACAACCTTCCCAACTCGACCGACTCGAGACACTACGGTCCTGTTCCTCTCGCTCTCATCCGGGGGAAGGTGTTCTACAAGGCACGTCGGGTCTCCCTGCCGTTCTAGTCTGACTTGCTCGCGTCAGATCTGGCCTCTGGGGGAAGCAGGAGTTGTGGAGTCGAAGTTGATGAACCAGGAGTTGAAGGACTAGACAGTTTCATCCCTTCATTGTCACCATGAAGTCAAACAGTTGCTGCCTCGGAGTGCTCGAACTCCGGCAGCTTCTTGGTAAGGAGGAACCAAGCGTAGATAGCGGAGAAGAGGAAGAACATTCCGATGACGGGCTGGGCGGGAGGATGTCAGTGTGATCAGCCTTTGAAGAGCAACAATTCACACCCAGTTGTAACCAGCCCATTCAGAAGAGAAGATCTGTTTGTACCTGTGCGGTACAGGTACAATCAGTTGTTGCATGAACAACATCATGGCATGTCAAGAAAATTCCAAACTGACCCCAAGACAAGAGTTGATGTGCTGAAACATAATAAATATCCCTGAGCAAAAATCTTCCTTACGAACGGATCCGGGACCTCTCTTGTCTTCCACACCTGCGAGATGATTCTCACTTAAACAAGAGGATCAGCAAGATACACTGAGCAACAAGAAGCAGACGGGGTGAAGAGAAAGGGCAGAACAACTAGGATAACAGGGACAGCTGAGTCAGACCAGGACGGGGTGAAGAGAAAGGGGAGAACAACAAGGATAACAGGGACAGCTGAGTCAGACCAGCCAACTCTGGGAGAAGATGAGCGCTCCATACAAACGAATGATGGTGTTGGCTTGCTCTGCCATTATCCTGCACCCTTGCTCCTCGCCTTTGAGATTCATAAAGATCTCGTACAACTACAAGTAGATCACGTCAGTCAACCAAAGTTTTGAAACAAGTGCACGGAAACAGAGATGTGAATTCGGAATGTCCCTGGCAAGCGCTTTCTCACCTGTGGGTGGACAATCGCAATTGCTCCTGTCACGGCTGCTAAGAAAGCATGAATGCCTGCACAACCACGACTGTGAGACCCGATGATAATACAACTCGCAGGCAGGCAGGCAGGCAGGCAGGCAGGCAGGCAGGCAGGCAGGCAGGCAGGCAGGAGGGTGGAGGAATCACCGTAAATCATATCCAGTTGCTTCTTCTTTGCATAGAGATTCGTGGAAAACCTTCTTTGTCTGTTCTGCTGCGAAGACGTGCTGTTCTGCTCGGATTGATTTGATCCCGAGGGCCTCAGACATGTGGGTGTGAAGCCGTCGTCGTCGTCTTCGTCGTCTGAGCAGGGGGTGTTTTTAGAGGTCAACCGAACCATGCTAAATCCGTCAAAGAGGCGGCAAGGGGATGGGTCGGAGGTTCAGAGCAGGTCTTCCTGTGTAAGCGCTCAAGGACGTCTGATGCTGCTGCTCATAGCTCCTCCGCACTCCTGTCACAATCTTCGGCGTCAAACATGGTACCGCAAGGTTGGGGGTAGGAAATGGGCAGAAGAGCACTGGTACAAGAACAAACATGATCCGAAAAGTCGAAGCACAGACAGCTGCTCAACAATGCAACACATGTTGCTTGCGGGTGCCATATCAGCGCTATGCTGCTCCATCACCGTCGCCATTGTCGTCGCCCCGTCTTCGTTGCATCCCGCCATGGCTTCCGGGCTCTTCAACTAGGGGTAGGGGTACTGATGGAGACTGCAAGAGTAATGAAAAAGACGGGTACTTTCAGCAAAGAAAGGGGGTGATGTTTGATTGTGGTGGGTAGGGTTGGCCGAGGACTGCTCCGATGGTCGTATTGAAATTGTTCGACTACTCGAGGAACGAGGAAACATGGGAGGAGGAGGAGGAGGAGGAGGAGGAGGAGGAGGAGGAGGAGGAGGAGGAGGAGGAGAGGGGAGGGGGAGGAGGATGAAACGTGGAAATGGGAATTTCCGGAGACGATACAGAGAGGGAGAGGAGCGGAGAGAAAACAGCAGAGGAAGGCGACAGGCATGGTTGAGTTCGAGGTCAGCTGGGGAGGGAAGAATAAAGCAGGACGGCCCGAGTGACAATCGAGAGGCAGAGATGTGGCTTTGGATGCGATTTAGCTACACGTGGAGACTAACAACATGCTGTCAGGTGTTGAGAACAGCTGCTGGATCGATGTGATATCAAGAGTGGAGGACCGCCGCCTGCCCTGATGTAAATTCGATCGACATCGGCTCTGAAATGTCACTTTCCAAGAGCATCATACTCCTCCTCGTCTTCTCTCTCTCTGCTTCTTGTGTTCAGAGTATCTCCATAGAGTTCGAGCATCTCGGAGCCCGAGTTTACCTCATCGACGGGAAAAACACCTGGTACCAGATCCACTTCCTCGTCACCGACATTCCTCACGAGCGATCTTCGCACACATTCAAGTTGGAGATGCAGACGGCATGGAACGATGGCGAGTGGGAGAAGACAGGATACATGGATCATGTGCGGGCTCCTTTCCCTGCGCGCAGAAGTGCGGGGATGAACATCAACTTCCACGGCACGCTGAGGCTCCGAGCTGTTTTGAAGGACTTGGACGCGCTGGACAAGAACGAGACTTTCACACGAGACGCCTCCATCCAGGTGCTCAAGGTCAAGGATGCTCCTATGTATGTCGCTGCGCGACTGAGGATGGGTCAGACCTTGAAGGTCCTAGAGCCCAACGACGAGCATGTCCAGTCGCTGGCTGCGTTCGCTCTGAACGAGTTCTCAGCAACAGCAAGGTTGCCGTATGACGAGATCGTGAGCGCTGCTATGATCAAAGTCAGCGCAGACAGAGAGGAGTACGTGATCACCACTCGGTGTGCGCTCGAGTCACAGTACTGCAAGGTCGGGGGCCTGTTCATGTTCGGTATCTCCCGGACAGACCGCGATCAGAAGATCCACCTTGACATTACGCATGCCGGGGGAGTTCCTTCGGGCATGTGGAGCAAGAATGCTCCGAGATCGTGGAGGGAGGCCGTTGAAGAAGGATACTGTGAGGCGTCTGAGCCTGTGCTCGAGGCCAGCTTTCTTCCTTGGACGAGGAGAGGAGCGAGGATAAGCGAACAGAACGTAATCAACATCCTGAACAGCCCGAACAAACTTTGCTGGCAGAGGCTGAAGGTCATCAACAATGAGCTCTACATTGAACAACCTCAGGTGGATCGGATGGGAATCAAGTTGCCCGAAGACGACAAGTGGTATACCTCCTGCCTGGCTGAGATGGTTCTGGACGTCCTTCAAGACTTCAGGCTCCCGGATGTCGACCTTTGCGTTTCCGAGGAGCTGCCACAGGTACTGAAGGGGGAGAACCATGCTTCTCTCTCTATGACCATCAGCAGTGCGCATATGGACATCGTCATCCCCGACCTCTTCTTTCGCTATTGGAACCCTGACAACGTCGTGCCGCACGACTGGTACAAACCTCCCCAAGACTGGTCCAAGTACATTCAAGGCAACGTGCTCAAGTGGGAGGAGCGGGTCCCTAAGCTGTGGTGGAGGGGAACGGTGTCCTCCTGGCACATGAGCGCACGAGGGGAGCTCGTGAAGCTCGGCAGGCAGTTTCCGGATCTGATCGATGCCAAAGCCCTCCGAGTGGTCGGGCCAGCGTTGAATGAGACGTGGGAGGGGGTGGAGGAGGTGCTAGCGCAGGTGCGGGAAGGAGGGAAGGGGATCAAGACTGATCACAACGAGCAATTCAAGTTCAAGTATGTCATCTGCACTCACGGCCCCCACAACCACTGGAGCAACAGGTTCCGCTCGCTGCTCTCCAGCGGGGCAGCCGTCTTCAAGCAGGAGGCTTCCCTCCGCGAGTTCTGGGAGTTTGAGCTCCAGCCCTTCGTTCACTTCATCCCCCTCAGCGAGGACCTGTCAGACCTGGTGGAGATGGTCGAGTGGGCCATCGAGCACGACGAGGAGGTCAGGAGGATCGTGCAGAATGCGCTTGAGTTCGTGAGGACGCGGCTGACTCCGCAGCGGATAATCTGCTACTGGGCGAACCTGCTCGAAGCTTACGGAGGGAGGATGAGCTACACGCCGACCGTCTCGCCTAACGCTTCTCTCTACTACAACGTGGCGGCTTACATGCGATGAACGCAGAAGTTGTCTGATTGACGTGACTGTCGGGGTGTCTCATATTGTTTTTATGGGTTATTGCTATCTCACCAACACTTCTTCTCCTACCTTAGCTGTTTGTATTACTCTTGCAGCTCTCAGCTCTGCCTTGACTTGTGCTATACATACATACAAGATCTTTCTGTCCCTGCCGTACCAGCTGCTCATCAGACTTCAATGGCTCGAGTGCCATGACCCTCCGCGCATGCTCGGTGCGTCCCCCGCGCTCAGCGATCGAGTGAACTCACTGGATTCCTTGAGGGAGGACGACTTGGTTGGCGTGTTCGACCTCTTGTGCTTGTCCCTCTGTCGCAGCTGCTGGACGAGTCAACGTGAGTGGCTCGCATGTAACTTGCCGCACCTTCTTGTCGTACTCCGCGCGCTTGTCGGGGTCAGTCAAGACCTGATGCGCCTGGTTGATGGCAAAGAACTTCTGATTTGCTGTCGGATCGCCGACATTGCGATCAGGGTGGAACTGCCTGGCTAGTCTCTTGAACATGTCTTGAATCTCTTTCGCTGCAACACAACTCATCGACAGGGATGCAAGCGACGGGCGACTCACAAGAGCTATCCCTTGACACGCCGAGCAGCGTGTAGTGATCGATCTCCACGTCACTGGAAGGAGCTTCCGAGCTCGCTCTCACGTTGGGCCTGCGTCTTCCCTTTGCTCCTCCTTTGATCTCTTCCTGTTGTTGTCCAGCACTCTCTGACTCCTTGGAACGCAGCAGAGAACCGTCGTCCAACATAAACAAGTGCTCGGGAAGGACCTTGAAGAGCATCAGTAGACAGATTGAAGCTGAAACAAGGAGAGACCTTGAGCAATCTGTTGGGCTGATTCAACAGGCTGACTACCGTCTTGTCTCCTTCTTGTCGCACAAGGGTGCATAACTGACCATTGAGCTCGTACGACCGTTGCAACCCCTGGAGGCGGAAGGAATGCGCATGTTTCCTGATGCTCTCGGCATCGTTGGTGGACGTGGTTCTCCTGAATGCGAATCCTCCCTTCGCCTTCTCACCCTCGTCCCCTTGGGATATATCGTCACTACTCCTCGTTCTGCTGATACCTTCTTCAACACTCCTCGTTCTGCTGATACCTTCACTCCTCTTCGTTCTGCTGATACCTTCTTCAGGGCTTCTCGTTCTGCTGACACCTTCTTGAACACTCCTCGTTCTGCTGTAAACTTCTCCATTATTCCTTGTTCTGCTGATGCCTTCTTCACTCCATTTTATTCTGCTGTTAGCTTCTCCACTGCTCTTCGCTCTGCTGATGCCTTCACCCGTGCTGAGTTTCTGCATCGTGAGGTCTAGGAAGTCTTCATACTGCTCATGAGAAAGTCAGTTGCTGATGATAGAGGCATACATGAATGGAGGAGAGGTGTTGAGACCTTGCTGTGATCGTTCATTTCGTGCCCTCTGAAGAGCTGTGGAGAGGATTGGAAGACTTGCGAACCCTTCACATCAGAGTGAGGAGTAAAACTTCAGGAACAAATTCATCGTCAGTCTCACCTCCTTTGTTCCCTGCTTGTTGTGTTCTGCTCCAAATGTCCGCCTCCGATGTTCTATCGCCCTCTGCCTTGCTGAGCTCTCTTTGACCTGAACGTCACTTGCATTCTGTCCATGAAGTCAAAGTTGTCGAAAAATCGTGTTACGTCACAACAGAAATACGAAGTGACATGAATGTTTGCCTGCTACTCGACTCTGCCTGCTGCCTTCATCTCTTCCACCTCTCTTTTCTCTCGTCTTCTCTTTCCTCTTCTCTCCCATCTCCTGTCCTCGCTCCTTCGCTTTCAGCATCTGATCCCTGCATTCGCATTACCAGCATGTTCGATGATTTGCGCCCGCAACTGGCAATATCATGATAAGGTAGGGTAGATCACCCCACCTTACGGACTGTCTACCTAAAGTGCTTCAAACGTAGGGTACTTTTGCTGTAGCGTGGGGTAGGGTACATGACAATTTCCGAAAAAAAATTGACTGCTACTACTGAATTCACTCAAAGAAGTAACTGATAATTTCTAGTACAAATCTAACATCAACCTGGCGCTATCCACGGTTGTATGACGGGTGAGTCATCATTCAGAGAGTCGCTTGTGACTTGATGAGATTTACATGCTACACAACTTGAACATCTATACACCATCAACCTCCTCACCCATCCCGGTCAAACACAACTCGGATCGGCTTCTTCTTGCTCGCCTGCATGGCGACGCGCGTGAAAGCTCTACGGCACCAGGAGCGTCAGAGGAGCATCGGCCGTCCCTCTTCACCTCTGCTGCGACTCAGTTGCTCGGAGACTGTTGGCGAGGACAGGCGGCCGTTCCAGCACGTCCGTTCCTTGTCCAGCTAGCGCCAAGCTTTCCCTCACCTGCTCCACTTTGCGCCTCATGCGTAGGTTGGGATCTGGTCAGAAAGTGAGGGAGAAGGGCGAGGGCTAGCGTGTGCTTGCCAGCTGAATGCGACATCCTCTCTCGCTCATTCCTTGCCTCCATCTCCGTCGTCAGCCTCTCCTGCAGGAGCAATGAGATCGAGGCGAGAGGCAGGAGGAGGCTGCCTTCAGGTTCGTGTTCTTCTTGACCAGAAGCTTCATCGACTTCTCTATGCTTTCCCACGCATCGCCCTCCTCGTCCTCCTCGTCCTGGCCCTCCAACGAGGAGTCTGCATGGCGCATGGAGGGGAACAGCGGGTCCCATTGACTGTACGAGGCATCAGGACTGAACAAGGGAAGTAGTGGTCTACCTGTGAGGCCGGGCGTCGTCGAGCTGCTGACGCTTGAGATCAGCTCGCAGCATGTTGCTGATTTGAATGAGTTTGTCTCGCTCAGCTGTAACTCGCTTGAGGGCGTTCTGACAGTCAACAATCAGATCCGACTTGCCCGTCTGTGAAATCATCTCCTCCTCCTCCTCTCAATGCACTTGGGCTCCTCCCTCCTCCCTCCCCGCTCCTCCTTCCCCGCTCCTCCCTCCACCTTCCTGCCTCTCACCCCCTTCCCAATCTCACGTCCTCCCGCGAGGTTTACCTCCGTCTTCCTCAATCGACTCGAAAAATTCGCCTTCTCTATCTGCTCCCCACCACTGATGTTCTCGATCTCAGATCGCATCTGACTGATGACTTCTCGCAGCCTCAGGTTTTGATCCTGTGAGCGACTCGTCAGGCCTTGCCTTCCTTCGGACCAGCCTCACCTCAAGCTCGTGTATCCTCGTCCGCACCCTCCTCCCGTCTCCTCCTATCACATCTCGCGAGCTTGCTCGTGACATCTTCCTCCCCTCGTCAGCCGGGCAAGCAGTGACAACCTCTTCCTTCACCTCGCTGTCTCCCGTCGTCGGTCTCCTTCCATCAAAGTCCAACGTTCCTGGCCTGTGAGCAGATGAAAATATCACCAGATGACAGCGGACCAAGACAAGGCAAGATGGTGAGGACGAGGCAAGGAGAGGACGAGGACGAGGAGAGGACGAGGACGAGGACGAGGACGAGGACGAGGACGAGGACGAGGACGAGGACGAGAGCGAGTGTCGTACCTGATAGCTTCACTATCTGCAGTGGTGGGACGGGAGCCTCCGAGATAAGGAGGAAGGGAGGGAGTGTCAGGGAAAGGAGGCATCTGAGTTGAGTCAAGCGAGGAAAGGGAGCAAGAGGAGAGCAACTTGAATTGGAGAGTCGAGAGGAGTGTCAAGGTCACCCCGGTCAATCGTTAGGTTTGCGGGCCTGCATCGTCTCGTTGAGGGGAGGGAGGAGGACGAAGACGAGGAGGACGAGGAGGACGAGGAGGAGGATCGGGGGGTAGGAGGAGGAGGTTTTCGAGTAGGAGATGCAGTAATTTGGAGGGAGAGACGAGAGAAGAAATCAGAGCAAGCTACCTTCTATCCCTCAACTCGGTCAGAGAGTGGATCTGCCAAACGTATCCAATGAGGTGAGGGTAAGGGGATTGAAGGGAAGAGCGAAGAGAACGGTGAGGAGAATAAAGATCAGTTGCACCTTCGCTTGTGCTTGTTGCAGCTGTCTCGTCACGTCAGTCAGCTTGTCTTGAGCCTGTGAACTGCGTCATGACACAACTCAACATCTGTCGAATCAACCTCCTCTCTCATCAGCATCGCCTGATCCCGTTGATTCGTCATGTTTCTCAACAGTTCAGCAAAGTGAACGTTCGCCTGGTCCTCACTCTGACAGCATACGTCACCACCTCCTCCTCTTCCCTGCCACTGACCTCTTGCGAGAGTCTCTCCATGTCAAATTCTCTCTGAACAAGTTGTTTCTTCAAGTCAGCCTGCAAAAATAGTCAGCTATTCCATCCTCTCTCCTTCCCCCTCCCCCTTCTCCCTTCCTCCTCCTTGCGCTCTTTTTTCTCACTTTGCTTCAAGCAGCTCTCAGCTCCATCTTGCCTTGTGCTCTCAACCTCCCTAGCTCCAAGATCCCCCCTCCCTCCCTCCCTCCCTCCCTCCCTCCCTCCTCTCTCTTCCCTCTCTCCTCTCTCTCTCTTCTCCCCCTCCTATCCTCTTCCTCTCCTCTTCCTCTTTCTGTTGGTACCTCCCGCTTGCAGGCTTCATTGAGCTCCTCCCGCATCTTGTCCAGGTCTTGACGCCTCTGTCCAACGGTCAGTCACGTCAAGGAGACGTCACGTGTCACCTCCTCCAGCAATCTTTTCAACGATGAAACCTGAATGTCAATCTCAGACCTTCAATCCTTCTTCCCGCTCCATCCCCTCTCACTCCCATCCTTAACTTCCCTCCTCCTTTCCTCTCCCCTTCCCTCCCTCTCCCCTCCTCTCCTCTCCTCCTCTATTTTGCCCCCTATCACCCCTGCTTCTTCCCCTCCCTTGATTTTCCCCTCCCTCCTCCTTCCACAGTTTCTCCCGTCTGCCACCTTCTCGCGCAGCCCAGTGATCTCCTCTTCCAGCAGAGACTTCTGCGAGCTGCAGCAGCGACATGACGAAAGAACTCATACATCACGTCTCACGTCAGATTCCTCTCAGCTTCCATTCTGCTGCTCTCAGCGTTCTCGTACTTCCTCTCCAGACCCTGCAAGGGCAACATCACCAGCAGCTCCTCCTCCTCTTGCTCCGTGTCCTCGAAGATCTACCTTCCCTCCCGCCGCTCCTCCTCAAAGACTCCCTCCCTTCCACCCACACTCCTCCGCCTCCTCACCTGAATGGCTTCAAGGTGCGCAAGCTCCATCTCCTGCAGGTCTCGTTGAGCTTTCATTGCACTCTCATGCTTCCTGACGTGAAAAGTTCAAAATAAAAGTTTAAAAGTCTTGCTGTCAACTTGTCTCTCTCAGCGGTGATGACAACAAGTTCTTCGTTGAGAGTCTCGATCTTTTTCTCCGCCTCCCGCACTTGACCTTGCCAAACATCCCATGGTGAGGTGGTATGCGCACAGGGTGAAGGCAGAAGCAAGGAAAGCGAGGAGAGAAGGGAGAAGAGGATAGAGAGCAGAGAAGAGCAGAAAGCGGCAATGAAAGGAGTGAGAAGCAACGAGGTCGAGCGAAAACCTCTCAGTGTCTTCTCCTGATCTTCGAGTGCTCTTCTCAATTTGATCTCGAAGTCCTTCAAATCGACGTCATCTCAACGAGTTCAGCTCAATCACCGCAAATGACCTCTTGCTTGCCCTCGGCTTCACTCTGACTCGTTTGAATCATTCGCTGCAATTCTGCAATCTTATCTCTACTTGTCAGTGAGGTCACACGAGCGGTCTTCCCATGGCACTGACTTTATCTTCTTTCTCTTCGATAATGCTCTTCGCAGCCAGATCAGACGCCTCACCCACCATCAAGTCGACGCGTCACCTCATACTTGGCGTTGAGCTCTCTCAGGGCCCTGGCGTGTTCGTTGGAGCTGCTGGGGCGTGAGGCGGGTCGAATTGAACAAGCCAGCTCACCGGTCTGACTTGTCTCTCTGCAACGCAAAGATCTCGCTCTCCATTCTCTTGAGCGATTCACCTGAGGCAACCATGACGTTCACAACGCAGATCAAGGGCGGCTCCAGAGCTCATGCGCGGGCTGGACTTGTTCAGGGCAAGAGCAGGTACCTTTCTCTGACGATAGCTTGTTGAGAGACTCGTTGGACCTTCTCGCTTCCTCGAGGAGATTCTCAAGTTCCGTGATCTGCTCATGAGTCAACAAGAGCGTCAGGGGGGGAGGCACAGCAAGCTGGAATGTCTGAGAGCAGAAACGTGTTCTCACCTTGGTGCTCAGATCTTGATTGTTCTTCTGCAACTTTCGGATCTCAGCGTGAAGATCGTCTTCCCTTGACTTGCCCTCATGCTGCGATCAACGATCCGTCACTAAAACCCTCCTCGTCTCCCCAGCAACCTCGAATCTTCTCATCAGATCGTCGAACGACACGCTCATGTCTCTCCTTTGCACCTCCAACACGTCATCCTGCGTGGACTGCGTCATGACCCACATCGCATCCTCTCCGTCTCCTTCCTCCATACCTTCTCTGAGAGCTGCCGCACGAAGTCTCGTCGCATCTCATCCATGCTATTCCTTAGCTGCAGGAGCATCAGTTGAGCGATGGTGATTCTTCGTTCAGACCTTCCGTATCTCCTCATCCTTGCTCCGTCTCACACTTTCCAGCTTTTCCTTCATCTCCAGAATGTTTTCCTTGTTGCGGTCTTCAATGAAAGGAGGAGAAAACTTGGAAGACGAAGAAGGGGGAAAGGGGGGCGGAGCTGGAGGAGGAGGACTACTACCTGATGATGATCTGCAAGCTGCCGCGATTGCTCCTGCGGCACCTGATCAACCAGCGTGACAGGACAACTTGCTCCACTCACTCTCTCTGCTCGAAGTTGCGACTCCATCTCATCTGCTGCTACCTGTGCGCTGGGGTGAATGGAAGGAAAGTCACTTGCTCTGAACAAGCCTTGAGGTCGCTAATCTCAGCGTCTCTATCTCGAACCATGTTCTTCAGGTTCACGAACGCAGAGTCATATCTGCAGACAACGTCAGATGCACGAGTATCAGCACGGAACAACAACCTCTCGAGCTCTGCATCCCTATCTTCGATCAGCTTCAGGTTGTACTGGAAGTCCACCTTGAGTTTCCTGCATCCAGGTCACCGTCAGCCGCTCTTGGTTCGCCATACCTGAAGTTCTCCTTCAGGTCTGCGATCTGTCGGTCCCTCTCTGTGATGGTAGATTCCAAGGCCTGTTGCAAGGTCACATCTCCCTCATCATGGCTCAAGGTCGTTCCTGGATCCGTAGCTCGTTCATCTCCTGGAGCTCCTTCTCCTTCTGCCCTATCAGCTCTCTTAAAGCGCTGGCCGGGTTGACCGGCATGGCGTCCTGGGTGTCAAGGAAGATCGTCAGTCGTAGTTGATCACAGAGATCGCTTCACACATTTGTATTTCTCTCGTCTCTACAAGCCACTCCTATACAAGCTACCCCTTTACAACTCCATTAGATCCCTTCATGTCCTCTGCTCTGCTCTGCTCTGCTCGCATGACATCGCATCTCCTCTCATCCCTTCACATCTTTTCGTATCTTCTCTCTCCCTCTTCCCGTTCATCTCTGATTTCTACTCGCATCACTGGCTCCCTCTCGCATCTCCCGCGCTTACCTCCGCCATTCCCCGACAAACAGGTTGGTGGAGGCTGAAGTATTTCAAATTTGGCTCATAAATTGCTGCAACAAAAATGAAATTTTATGAAATGGAATCGAGGCAAGTATCAAGTTTCAAGATTTGAATACAGGCGGTCTGGTCTTCATCGCTCCTCAACTACCCACTCGCGTCATCTGCTCCTGCTCCTGCTCCTGCTCCTGCTCCTGCTCCTGCTCCTGCTCCTGCTCCTGCTCCTGCTCCTGCTCCTACTCCTCCCTCCACATAATCAGTTTTACCTTCCCCACCTCTTCAATGTTTCTTTTGAATACGCCTTCCTCTATCGTTTCTCGTCTCTCCTCCACCCACCGCATACCCACCTTCATCCTTTCGCAGCAGCAGCAGCAGCAGCTAGGTTATCTCAATCGACTCGCTCGTCGCAATCATTATTTTCAACTTCGTACAAGGCAAATTTGGTTTCATTCACTTCAAGAATGTAAAAATGGTTGGGAAAGATTAAAGTTCAAGTGTTTCACATGGAGAGATTTCTATAGCAGACAACAAGTCAATCGAAGCTGTAGTGTGTTGTGATACTCCGCCCCTGCCACAGTCATGAGACCTCCACCATCCCCTCCAAGAAACAAGGGCTAGCAACGCACTACTCTTCTCCCTATCCATCCTTCTCAGTTCCTCAAGCTCTCACTACTCACCATTGTTGCACTTGATGTAGTCGACGCCCTTCACGTAGTAGTTCCGAGGGCAGGAAACATCGCCAGTCTCACGCCTGTCGTCATCGAGTCAAGAAGCGAAGGACGAGGAAGAGAATGGAGGTGTACATGGCATGGAAGATATCGTTGCCGTTGATTACACACTCGCCAGTGACGTAGCTGACAATTCAGTCAAACTCGAGAACCCCTTTCGCTCCTCTCCTCTCCTTCACCTGCAATGCTCGGTAGCTGGGAAGCGTCCAGGAGGTCCTGGAGGCCCAGCGGGCCCTTGGATGCCGATCCCAGGGACTCCGGGAGCCTGGGGCCAAGTTAGCGAGAGCCTGAACAAAGGGGAAGCCAGAGCAAGTAGGTGCGCCAGGCCATGAGGGAGGACGGAAGGACAGACAAAAGCTGGAGGAACAAGCAGGCCAAGAGAGCGAGAACAGGAGAGGCAGGGAAGGAGTAATGTGCCATTTCTTACCCCAGGGGGACCAGGCAAGCCAGGATTTCCTCTAGGACCCTGTCAAAATCACAGCGTCAACGCCTGGAGCATGCGCGTCGCTGGTTTGACCTCCGGACCCTGCACGCCCATCGGACCGATAGGCCCCCTCTGCCCAATCTGACCAGGAATACCTGTGGGGTAGTCACTACACTTGAGTCCAGAAGCCAAGCAGTGGGAGGTAAAGATGGTGGTACACGTTGAGAAAGGTCGAGCACAGACGCGATAAGATGGCGGCCAACCACAACGAGACACAGCAACACAGATAGGAGTAGGACCAGCAAGACGATTTGAGGAGGCTACGGTGAGATGTCAGCTTTCTCTTCACCTGGAGCCCCGGGTCGTCCCGTGTCACCAGGCCTGCCTTGATCGCCAGGAGGCCCTCTCAGGCCCCGATATCCCCTAGGGCCCATGGGACCTGCCGGTGAACGTCAAGGCACGTCGCATTTTCACTCACTCCACGCACCCTGAGGGCCCATGGCACCGGGTGAGCCTGGAGAACCGTTCTGCCCTGCAGGGCCCGTCGGTCCAGGGAGACCCTACCAGGCACAGTGAGTATGTCTAGAGGACAGCGTCTTCGCGGCGGTATACCTGGGGTCCGCTCATGCCGGTTGGTCCGGGCTGCATTGCGACGGTGTTGATCCTCTGATGCAGGATCCTTGATTCGCGCGCCAACCTCCTGTCGTACGCCTGCTCCAGGTTCACGATCTTGGCGGCGAACTGCTTCTTGAGCAGTCGCATGGCAGCTCGAAGTTTCTTGATCATGTTGGCATTTTCCATGTCACCCCGTACAACCTCTCTGTTGGTTCTTTCGAGTCTGCCGATGTTCTTCTCAGCTATTTCGAACATGTCAGACCGGCATAAATATCACATAGAACGTGCAAACCTAGAGGCTCCCATGGCTTAGGTGGAGGAACCCACTCCGATTGTGACGGCTCAGCTTCCTGTTCCTGAGGAACATCTGGGGTCGCCTGCACGGCTGGTGGTGGCGGCGAAGACGGCTCTTCCTCCACCTCCTTCTCCGTTTCCTCCACGGGGTTGAGCGTTCCGGTGACTTTCCATGTGGGCATCATGGTCGTTCGCGATCCCTCGACCAGGGACGTTGGCTTCCGCTCATGGGCTCTGAGACTGACGAGGGACAGGAGGACTAAGAGGATCAGCCCTGCAGCTCCTGCCGCCGCCGCCGCCGCTCCCTGCCTCCTCCTCGACATGCCCCGAAGAGACACGGCGGTTTCGGAACCGTTGAAATCCGTTTCTGATAACGAATATTTCGATAGGCGGGGCCTGCCGGGGCCCCGGGCCCCTCAGGGCCTGGGCATCACCGTACGGTCCTGCCAGTGCCCGGGCCGGCCCAGCGAGTCACTGTGACCGCCTGAGGCTCCCGTCGGGTAGTGGCTGACGGAGCACAAGATTGTTAGACTTGTACAGTGACAAGTTGTAACAAGATCGGACAGTTTTTGCTCAAGACCAAGTTTAATGTACACAAAAGTGACTTGACCAGAATTGAGGAGCACATGAGAGATAGACTGTACGCTAGGATGTGAAACCCAAGCATCCAGACATGAGAGGACCTTAGCGAGACGGCTGGTTTACATGAGAGTTTTTGTTAACTCGGCGCTATCTGACTGGCACGGCTGGCATAGTATCGATCCATCAGTGGCACTGAACAGTGCGGGCCGGGCACGGGGCAGACGGAAGTTAATGGCCGAACTTCGGAACCGTTGAACAGGCTTGTCAGTCCGTTGTCCATTTATTTTCCGAGTTCCGGGTCTCACGAGTCATCGTCCGGGCCTCGCTCGCCTCTAGCGGCAATTAAACTCTCACTCGCCTCTTCTACTGACATCCCCGCACGCGCCCATCTTCGCACCCCACGAGGATCATGCGGGAATACGGCAGGACCTCCACGCACGAGATGTTGCTGCGACAGCCTCGGTCAGCTCAGCTTCTTACCCGCCTCCGGTCCAGCTGGGCTCACCTTCGAACGTCTCGCATCCGACTTTGATCGACAGCTCGAGGAGCGTCTGCAAACACAAGCCCTCCAGCTAGAGCAGCGACAGCCTGACAAGAGCGATAGGTACAAGCTCAGCGGTAGGAAGGAGCAGGAGAAGACTGAGGGAGAGCAGCCATAGCGTGAGGAGGAGAGGAGGGCAGTAGTAGAAGGAACAAGCAGGGAGACTAGCAGGACACAAGTGAACATGCGCTACCATCGAGCTGGGCATCACTTTCAGGTCAACCACAGGATCAGTGAGGTACAGCCGATCCCTTCCCTCCTGCGTTTCAGACGTGAGGAGGGGAGAAGAGCTTGCGCTGCTCCCGCACCTTCCCGCTCCACCTCGACAGCCTCGGCAACATCAGCCATGCTGTGCTCCACAGCAGCTCCTCTGAGCCTTCACTCTGACACAAGGCAGTCACCCCCTGCCACGTCAACCGCCTCCTCTCACATCCCACACGGCAAGCGACTTGTCCATGGAGGCAGTGATAACGTGCGTCCCCTTCGTTTCCAGCCCCGTGATCGCTCCTTCGTGCGCCCTCCACGTGCTGTAAACACATCCAGCAGCAGCTCAGCAGACTCAGCAACTCGCAGCAGGTCCGCCTGACCTCTGCAAGACCCCCGACCTGAGGTCCATCACGCACACCTGACCTGTGCTAGTGCCCATGAAGATCGACCCTCGTGATGCTTTGATGCTCAGCACGTTGTTCAGGGCAGGCGGCAGGTGCCTGCGGGCAACGTCGGTCATGCTCGCCGTCGCCAGTTCCCTCTCTCACCACTCGACTCCCTTGCTCTTGCTCCTCAGGTCTACAACCTTGACAGCGACAGGCCCAGGATACTTGGCGGTACACGCAAGGATGGCGTTGCCTCCAAACCAGAACCTGCGGCTGTGTGAGGCAAGTAACGAGCTGCTGCTGCTCCCACTCAGTCGCTGCAACGTCGCCTTCCAGGCACGCGAAGCTGGTGATGCTCGCAACATGCCCGCTCGTCAAGACGCCCTTGTGTGTCTGCATCCTCTGCAGCACCTGACGTGTTGCGTCAAGCTCGCTCGCCGGCCCTTCAGTCTCGCTGCACCTCGAAGTCCCACACGTGGATCTCAGTGTCAAGTGACACAGCCCAGGGTCTGCTGGGAAGCAGCTGGACGCGCGTCACTGGTTCGCGATGTCCTGTGTACATCCCCTCGCAGTTCAAGTTATGCGGAGACCAGAGACGGACGGTCGAGTCCTGCAGGTCAAGTCAGAGGAGAGGAGGGGCGGGTAGCGAGGATGTGCGGACTTTGCTTCCTGTGAAGAAGACTCGCTCGCTGGGATGCCGACAGATGCACTTGACGTTTCCTGTGTGTCCCTTCCACGAGCACGCGAGAGCTGAGGGAGAAGTGAGAGGCTCGTCTCGCAACCTCCTCCTCCACCTCCATTGAAGGTCCACTCCCACGACCTGTCCTTGACCACGATGCTCCCTTCTCCCGCCTGCCGCTGCTCCCCGAAGCCCGACCAGCGCGCTATCCCGCTCTCTCGATCCGCCGCCCTCCTGTCCTCGGCAAGCGATCGAGTCGGGAGAGGCTTGGAGGACGCATGTTTGGCGACAAGAGACTCGATGAAGGCATGGTTGCGAACAGCTTGACGGATCGTCGACTGCCACTGGGCGCAGGAAGGGTCGGAGGGAGGGACAAGATCAAGCAGGGAGTGGTAGACGTCATGGACTATGTCAGCGCTGTACATCAGCTTCAACTGACTCCTGCTCTCTGCCGACAGCCCGCGCTGAGAAGACGGCTGGGAGGGACAAGTCAAGGCTTGCGAGAAGGAAAGGAAGGGAAGTGAGGGCAACTAGACATGAGGAAGGAGAAAGACGAAGAAAAACGAGAACGGAGGGACGAGAGAGGAGGGAGAGAGGTGGGGGACAGGACGGAGAGAGAAAGGAGCGACAAGGGAGAAGGAAGGGAGAAAGGAAGAACCACAGGAGGAACCACAGGAGGAACCACATGAGGAACCACAGGAGGAACCACAGGAGGAACCACAGGAAGAACTTTCCTCTCTCCCTTCCCTCTCCCTTTTCCCTCCTTGCTGAAGGGGAGAGGAAGAGCAGAGGATGGGGAGACGAGAGGGCACTTACATCCGACCCTCCGAGCCCGAGGGGATTGCTACCAGTCACAAACCCCTTGGAATAAATTTGAGTCAGCGACATAAGCCAATTAGCGAGTCCGAGGAGGAGATGCTTTCTGACTGCGTCTGGTCCTGACTTGCCCAGCAGGTCGCAGAGAATACTCGTAGTCACCATGACAGACTCTCTCGAAGTCATCCGACTGCCCCCCTCCTCCTCCTGCTTGCACTCTCTTACAGGAACCTCTGTCAGGAGGCGGAGCAGGATGGAGTTGTGGAGGAGGCAGAGGTCCATGGAGCTCGTGCTGGATACCATGGGCAGCATCTGCTCGATCGTCGTCAAGATCAGCAGAAAAGAGTCTCTGCGCGTGAAAGTCTTCCCGTCCTTCCCAGCTCCGCCCGCCCTCTGCCCATCGCTATCATCGGGGGACCTCTCCTCTGCCAGCGTCTTGTGTGCCGCCACTCCTCTCCTCCCCTCCGTCGACCCGAAGGTCCAGTCGTAGAGGACGGCGAGCATGCGCGGGACGAGGAGCTGGGAGCACCAGACCTCTCCCATCTTCGTCCCAAGATCCACTAGGAACCCAGAGACCCGCCCTGAGGCATCCCGGGCGAGTTTTGGGACGAGGGGGTCGGCGATGTGGATCAGGCTGACTGCCTCCCCTAGCACTTCTCCTGTGAGGCCCACCAGGGTTCGAGAGACGCGGGAGGAGACGGTAGAGCTCGGCGAGTTCACGAGGAGGGCGAGGAGGCGAGGGAGGAGGGAGTGGAGGAACGAGTCAACGCCGAACGAGTCGATCCATCCGGCGACAGAGGACACGTCGAGGAGCCCAGCCATCGCCATCGCCTCCTGCTTGCTGTCCCGGTCCGTTTTGCTTCCGCTGGAGATCAGCTGGAGCAGGTGGGGCAGGACCAGTCTTTCGCTCTCCTTCTGCCCGATGCCTCTGCAGAAGATGGGAACAATGGAGCGCAGAACGTCAACCTCCTGCTCCTCCTCCTCGAACGCCTGAAGGATGTCAGGCAGGAGGGTGAGGAGGAGGGGAGATCGCATGAGAGCAGCGGAAGCTCGATGCGTGTCCTGGAGGACAGCTCGGACCTTCTCTCTTCTCATCCCCGCGTTCACGGAGCAACGGAGGAGCTGCACGAGCTCGAGGAGGGGATGAAAATACTCAGGGAAGATGCGATGGGAGGAAAGAGCTTTCAAAGGCTCCGCAGGTCCAGGTGCGATCGATTTGACGTCCGTTGAGATCGACTGCGAGTATTCCCCCAGCAGGCCGAGCCGAAGCACCTTGTCGCTGTTGAAGGGTTCTTGAACGGACGTCAGCACCTTCGACTTGCTCTCAACGTCTGATCGCAACATCCTAGCGAGACACTGACTGGTCCTCGCATGCTCGAGAGCGTCCTGAAGTAGAGCTGGGATGGAGCCCGCCCGTGACTTGTTGCCCTCCTCTCCCAATCCTCCTCCTCCTGCCTGCAGCTGCTTGACGGAGTCCACGAACGATCCCAAGGGGAAGTCGACTGAGGGGAAGTGACAGAGAGAGTCGTTGAGCAGGTGAGAGTCGCTCAAAATCAGCTCCATCATCGTCGAGTTATCGTGACATATGTAGGAGGAGAAGTTGCCGACAAAGTTGAGATCCCTTCTCGTCGCATCCTCCCCCAAGCACGAGCCTCCTGCTCTCCCGGAGCAGCCACTGGCCTCCATCAGCACTAGATCCTGCACAAGGAGAAAGGCGGAGTTTGACTCGTCCGTCAGCAGGCAAGACTCGTCAAAGCCCAGGGAGCTGAAAGTTCTTTCCGCTCCTTCTCCTTCATCCCCCGAGCTCCTCTGACTCCTTCCCAACACCTCCCGATGCGCGTTCGACGGTCGGATCAGCATCTCCATGTCTACCCGCTCCCCGATCGCCTTTCGGATCCCAGCAAACAGCGACTTCTTCGTCTTCTTCTCTGCCACCACCTTCAAGGTTCCTGTCTCGCTCCCTCCCTCCTCCTCCGCAACCTGGACAGGGTGATCTGCCTCCACCGGACGTTCGCGGGAGGAGCAGGAGGAGTCGGAGGAGACGAGGTATCGCTCGATGTTGGCGACCTTCTGCTTGTTCGAGACCCTCCGCGGGGGGTGCGGACGTTGGAACAAGACGCAGAACCCGCGGTAGGACGGGAAGGTATTCTCCTTCAAAGGCACGTTCTTGGCGTCGATCGCCTCCTGTCCGACTAATTTGCAACCGAACGTGAGGTCGATCCACTCGTGCAGGCTCGCCGACACCTCATCGCTCTCGAGCATCATGCGGTGCTGCTCGATGAAGTGATGGGGCGACTGAGCCCAGGAGGGCAGGAGCAGGTCGGGCATGTCCGAGTGAGTGGAGGAGAAGACCTGGGGGTCGCAGAAGAACTCAGGGATGCACTCGTCTGGCGTCCACGCGTAGAGCCGCTCGAGGGAGGACGGGTACTCGTGCGGCTGCCATTGCGAACGGACGACCTGGAGCAGGCGGCTGCGGGGGAGCCTCCGGGCGAGGTAGATACAGTAGGTCAGCTCGGACAACAGCTCCGTCACGTGATGCGGCGAGGAGCTCCTCCAGCTGACGTCGAGCTGAACGTCCCCCCTTGTCAGCCTCAGCTTTGACTTTGACAGGTCTCGCCAACCGCCGAAGGGAGCATGGAGGTCCGAGACCCATGGCAAGATGGGGTGAAAGGAGGGGTCCCCCAGTCGTCGCCCTGCCATGGCGTTGAGGGCCATGAGGTAGTCGAAGTTGGAGCAGGTCCCCTCAGCCCAGCTCCGTGTCATCGAGAGCAGGCTCCATCTGTTCGGCAGCCGGTACACCTTCCCTGCTCCCTCCACCTCCTCCTCCGCCCGAGCCCTCAAGTCGGCAAGCTGCTGGACTTGATTTGAAGGTCTGCTGGAAGGGAATAGCAGGTTACACCTGATGGTCCAACTCGCGTCGATCGACAAGCTCCGGACGTCCAGGCAGCCCAAGGCAAAGGAGTGACGGTGAAGGGACTCGACTAGGAGAGCTACCTGGTAGAGGAGGAAGAGAACGTTCGTCGAGTCTTGTGCGAGCCGGTCCTGATCGAACCTGATGACGTCGGCGACAGAGGTCGGCACGAGCTTGCTCACGACGATCAGCGCTCTTGCTGGAACGAGAACAACATCTGAGATCTCCGGCAGGAAAGAATGTCGCGGGACAACAAGGAGACCACAAGATCGTGACCCGTCTGCCTGCCTGCTGCGAGGAACAGGTTGGTAGAAGAGGGTGAAAAATCTCATAAAGTCTGTCAGGCCTTTCACACTTTCACCAGCTTCTGGCAAATCTTGCCCCATGGCAGAGTGTGACAAGGCAAGGCAGGGAAAGCATCTCCCTGACCCTCGGAACCCCAATCCGCTATCGGCAGAACGTGAACAAGGACCGTCCCCCTAGTTCCCTCCTCTTCCTCCTCCTCCTCCTCATCATCGTCATCATCATCATCGATCTTCTCTCGAACATCGGTCGATTGCCAGACGAGGTCAAACTTGTCCTCCTGTTCGTCGAGACTAGTGCACAGTGACAGGCATGCAGCGCTCTTCCACCCACTGGCGAGGCAACAAACGAACCTTTCGCCTTTGCCATCGTAGTCGTACAGGATCGCATCCCGCTGAGACTCCTCAAGGAGCCTCTGAAGGAACATCCTCCTGCTCTCATGTACCGCCATCCTGCTACGGGTTGCTCTCATGTACCGCCATCCTGCTACGGGTTGCGCCGTGTTGTGTCGGCGGTGAAATCACCACATTTTCCCCTGACAAAATCCGCAACATAAAACGTTTTAGATGCATCCTGGTACAGACATTAAAATACATATTAATAAGTATGATGATGATTTGCTTACTATGTTGAGTGTATCGATATATAATATTTTACTGCATATAAACAGCAAAGCACTACCAAGATCACTTATAAACTTTAAATATATTGTAAGACTGTTTTGGGCGAACGATGCCACGACACGGACGGCGAAGGGAGAAGAGGAAGGGATGGCGGGAGGAGAGAGCGACATGAAGGGATGAGAACAGAACAGGGAAAGGACGCGGGTAGATGGAGGAGCAGAAGAAGGGGGCAGGAAGGGAGCAGGATGATGGAGGGCAAGACTGGGAATGATATAAGTGCGAAACAGAAATGAGAGGTTGGGAATGCCACAATTCGAAAAGTTCAAAGCCAAAGCTAGCCGTCTTTCCTGTGATGACATGGTGCCTTGCAGACATCAAGATATGGATTTTGATGAAACGGCGTCAAGAATTCAGAGTCTAGGTCAATCTGTGCTTGTTTGACCGCGTGTATGAGGACTGATTTCGAAACCAGCCGCGGAATTACGAAATCTTGAATCAGAGCATGAGAGCGAGCGGCAGAGTCTTAACCTAGAGTCATTGTCTGCTCAGATTGTCGAGGAACATGCTGATCTCAGACCCATCTCAGCAGGTGAGCGTTTGAGCTCTAGCAATCACATGGAGCTGACGGAATTGAAGCTGATAAGGGCAGGGGGGCTGAAGTTTCCTTTGAACGCATGTCGTTGAACATCGAGGACAAACAAGCTCGTCATCCGAGCTTGCTAGAACGTAGCGAGGAGCTCCTGAGATCTCAGAGAGCGTTCTCCGACCTTTCCTCAAGACATCAGGAACAGCTTTCCAGCGCCCCCAAGATGTTCGAGGAGAGAACAAGAGACGGTCGAAGTGGGACGCTGACCCGTCAGGTCCTGGGGAGAAATCCTCGAGTAGAGGAGAAAGAGGAGGAGGAGGAATCCGCTCTCCTGCTCGACATCCGCAAGGACCCGACTAGAACATCCTTCAAGCGCGACGCCTTCCTTTCGACCCTCATAACGGGCGAGCACGCGGATGTCGAGAAGGTCTGTCCCGCCCTCCTGCTGGCCGTCTGATGACGAGGATGGTGGCGAGCAGGAGCTCAGGTACCGCAAGAGCCTGCGGGACAAGGACGCTCGTAGCCAGCAGGGCAAGGGGCTGCAGCAGGAGCTGGGGGGCTATAAGGAGGCGGAGAAGCTCCTCAAGTCTCGTCCTCCTCTCAAAGACCCCTTCGACCTCGTCCAGGGCCTCTGTAGATACACTCCTCGCCCAACTGACCCCGAGCTGAGGTAATCGTCTGCATGCCCACTGCTTCCCTTCCCTTCCCTCCCGTTCCCTCTACTCCCCTTCTCTTCCCTCTACTTCCCTCCCCTTCTCTTCCCTCTCCTTCCCTTCCCTGCTCTACTGCTCCTCTTCTTCCCTCCCCTCCTCCCCTCCCTTCGCCAGTCTCTCCCCCTCTCTCCCTCACTCTCTCTTCCTTCCCTCTCCTCTTACCTCTCTTCCCCCTCCTTTGCTTCGCTCCTCTCATCCTGTTCCTCCTTGGTCCACTCGTTTCTCCTCTGTCAGCGCGTGAATTTCCCGCAGGAAGTCGCGCTCTGCCAATCGTTACGCCTACTCCGGTGAACCTCCTCCCTTGTCCCCGTACCATCCCACCGCAGCCACAGCGAGCATCAAGACGTCGGGAGGTGCGGGGGAACGAAGAGGGGAAGACGGCAAGACGACAGGGAAGGAGCGGATGGGGTTGCAAGAGAGGACGAAGGACACGGAGAAGCTTGCACGAGTAGAGTTGTTATGTTGCTGTTGAGATTTCATGACATGAGAGAATGCAGGAAGACTTGGAATCGTTTCTGATGGGAAGGAGCGAGGAGATAGATTGGAAGCTGAACAATCGCAATCATACCCAGAAAAACCAAATTGACAACCAAAATGACAAGCACGAAATTCACAACCATCGCGAGAGCAAGCAAGCCGAAAGTGCAAAAATAGCAAGTGTGGCCCATCCACGTGAGGCTCCGAGCAAATCTACAACTGAGTGGAAGGTGACAGAATTGTTTGATGCCCAAAAACTTGTTGGAGTTTACGTGTTTACAATCAGCACGAGAAAGCATCAATAGCATTTACAGCACCAACACCAACTCCTTCTCATGATCACGTACATCTTTTTGCCTGCGCTTCTGCGCTGTCAGCTCATGTCTGGTCTCAACTAGATCAACAAGGCTCCTCCTCCCGCTCCTCCTGCTGACAAACCCTCCAACATCCACTCGACGGCGTCAAACGACACCAGCGCCTCAAGCAGAGGAAGGCTGGGGATCGGAGGATTTCTGCGGGGGGTGAGGGGTGGGACTGCAACAGTCTCCTGTACTGATGACGCATGAAAGATGTTCGGATGTGCTGACCGGCGGGAAGGAAATCCGAAGAGGATGCAGAGTGCGCAGGAGGAGCCGCCGGGTCGAGGGAAGGCGGAGATTCAGGGGATCAGAGCAGGTCAGGAAGTGAGGGAGGACGAGGAGGGGATGGAGGGGAGATGGAAGAATGAAGGAAGTGACAAGGAGGAGGAGAGGAGCAGAATGTGGAGAGAAAGGAGGAAGAGGGACAGGGAGGAGAGGTGAAGCGAGAGGGCGAGGAGAGGGCGAGAAAAGATGAGGAGAACAGAGGAGGAGGGAGGAGGAGTAGGATGCTAAAATGGGCTGTAAGATGTATGTTGTGGGGGCGCGAGGACCAAGGTGGACTCGATGAACAACAAGGATGCTGATACAAATGGAGAGAGCTGGAAGGTTCAGAAAGTCTCTCCCTCTCCCTCTCCTTCTCTCCCTGTCCTTCTCTCCTCCTCTCCCTCTCCTTCTCTCCTCCTCTCCTCTCCCTCACGTCTGTCTCTCGTCTTTCTATCCCTTCTTTCTTGTCTCTATCATCTCCTTCTCGCTCCCTCCTCCCCGCCCTTCTCTTCCTCCTCTTCCTCCTCTCCTCCTCGCTGCCTAAAATCACTGCTCAGGTCATCTACAAGAGCTCCTCTCCGAAGACGGACAACGACGTTGAGATCTCCCTCCCCCTCCGTCTCGCGCTCTCTCGCCGCAAGCTTGACTCCCTTCACGAGCTGCTCGCGGCAGTCGGCGAGGAGGCGCAGCTGCGAGGGGTACGAGTGTCCTCCTCTCAGGTAGCAGATAAGGGAGGAGGGGGATTGTGGAAGAAAGAGAAGTGAGGAGGAGAAGTGAGGAAGAGGGCTGTGAAGGAGGAGGGAGGGAAGGAGGAGGGAGGGAAGGAGGAGGAGGAGGAGAAAGAGGAGGAGGAGGAGGTTTATGATCTCGTCCTCAGCATGCCCGCCAGGTGATCCTCAGCGGGGAGCCGGACAACGTGCAGTACGGTCAGGACCTCTTGGAAGCCGTGCTGAATGAGGCCTGAGAGATGGATATCTTTACTAGCGAGTAGACTAGAGGAAACAGCAATGCCCCTCCTGTCCTCCTCCTGCTTCCCTTCCTGCTTCCCTTCCTGCTTCCCTTCCTGCTTCCCTTCCTGCTTCCCTTCCTGCTTCCCTTCCTTCTTCCTCTTCCCCTCTCTGCCTTCCTCCTCCCTCCCTCCATTGTCCTAGTCCTTCCCTTGCTCTTCCTTCTCGCCCCATCTTCGTTGCTGCCCTCCTCATCCAGGACTCACTCTGCCCACCCGCTGTCGAAGTTGAGCAGGAAGGACAGTGCACGGATGGCCTCTGCTCCTGTGAAGTCGTCCTTGCTCTCCGTCAGCCCCTGCAGGGCCTCTATGGCCCCTCCCTGCACCATTTGCAGCATGCAGTCTGCATCTGCTCTGATCTCTGCTATGTTCCTGCACGCGCATGTGCGTCATCATGGGATGCGAGGGAGGAGGGGGGAGGGCGTGAAGGCGGAGGAGCAGAGCGGAGAAGCAGGGCGGAGGAGCAGGGCGGAGGAGGAGAGCGGAGGAAGAGCAGGGCGGAGGAGGAGAGCGGAGGAGGAGCAGGGTGGAGGAGGAGAGCGGAGGGTGTGAGGCGGAGGATCGCGCGCGTCTCTCACGCCAGGGTCGTCGCTCCTTCTCTGCGATATTTGGGGACTGACGACCGACAGAGGCCGACGATGAATCCCAGCGCTCCTCCCTTGACCAGCAGCACATGCACGTCCATGCAGACTGCGAGGGCGGCAAGCACGCGGCTAGCTTGCATGTGCAGGTCGAGATGGACAGTCTCTCCTGCTCAAGCTCAGCTGTAGCCCAGCAGCAAGTCAGCTCGGACCATCGCTGACGCTCTCGTCGGGCTCGCAGATCAACGTGCGGGGAGTTCCGGCGAGCTTGACGAGGGGGGGGATGGCGTTGGAAGAGACAATCGTGCTCGCATGCTCCGCAGTCCATGACAGCCGCTTCAAGGCCTTGCAAGCGAAGTACCTGAGAGTCGCTTCTCAGCTGCTGCCCAGCTAGCTCGTCTCACCTGGCGTGGTAAGGGCCGTGCTGGAGGGTGCTGATAAGGAAAGAGATGACGGGGCTGTTGAGGAGGACGGAGGACTTGACGGGAGGAAGGCAGAGGTTGGCGAAGACGCCGCAGACTAGATGTTGCTGGTCAACGCGTGAGGAGGATCCTGCGGCAAGAAGACGTCAAGTCAGCAGCCACGTAGCTCAGGTCAGCAGCGACCGAGCTTGACGAGTTCGTCGACGAGGGCGCCGTCTATGTACATCCTGGCGTACTGCAACTTTCGGCTGGAGTTGAGGAGGAGGAGGAGAGCCGAGGTGGTCAGCTCAGGGTCTCCCTTGCCGTTCAGGTCCCGCAGGCTCAAGCGATGCCGATGGATCAGGTCGAGCGCCGAGTCGTTGAGGGCGAGGAAGGAGAGCGCTCGCACCGCGTGACGACCTGCAGGACTTGAGCTGGGGGCGGGGAGGAAGAGGAGAGGGTACAGGTGGAGACGTGCTTGGACTGGAGGCAGCCGACGAGAGACTCGACGATCCTCTCCTGCTCAGCGACCTGCGACCTCACTTGCTCCTCGCTAGCGCTCAGCGCCACCAGCATCTCGCATGCGATCGCGTTGCTGTCGGCGTGCGGGGACCCCAACAGCTTCTCGAGTGGGGGCAGGATGTGGAGGGCGACCAGCTGCCTGATGAGCTGCTTGTGTTTGCACATTCGCAGGACGGCAGAGGCGGCCTCCAGCTGGAGATGCGGGTCGTCAACGTGCATGTACTTGATCAGGCAGGACGCCAGCCCTCTGGTCATCAGCTCCTGCGCCACCTGCGTGACGTCACCAGCCCCCCCCCTCCTCGTCCCCCTCCTCTCACGCTCTGATCCTTCACAAGGGCTCCGGAGAGCGCGCAGACGCTGGTCTGAATGGGAACGTTGGGAGTGTCGAGGACGCGCATCATGACCTCTATCCCTCCTCTCTGTAGGAACTCCGAGCAGAACCTGTCCTCTCGTTCGCACAGCGCTCCTAACACGTTTGTGCTTTCCCTGATCATCGCCTCAATATTCATCTCTTCGTTCCCCGTCTCCATCCTCTTCTTCACTCCCTCGACCTCTGACTTTGCCTCCTCCAGCATCTGCTCTGCTTGCTTCAACACTGACTTGTTCCGCAGCAGCATCGTCATTTCCCCTCGCCCACCCTCCTTTAGCTGCGCCTTGGCTGCGGTGATCCCCTCCTCACAGCTCCTCACATAATCCTGCGGGATCATGAGAGGAGGAAGGGATAAAGGAGGAGCAAAAATAGAAAGGAAGCAAGCAGAAGAAAGAGCAGGAGCACCACCAGCACCAGCACCAGCACCAGCACCAGCAGCAGCAGCAGCAGCAGCAGCAGCAGCACCAGCAGCACCAGCAGCACCAGCAGCACCAGCAGCACCAGCAGCACCAGGTTTACCTCCTTCTCCTTCAAGATGGTTTTCAGCCCTTCCTTCCAGCGCGGCTCGCAGAGCTCGAGCAGCGTCTTCATCCCCTCTCGCCGGGCGATCTCCGTCCTCGCTCTCAGCTCCTCCGCCAGGATACGCATGAGCTTGAGGCAGGAGAGCTTGAGAGAGGTGATGGAGGAGCCCAAGAAGTCAAAGAGAACGTCCCAGCTGATCTTCGAGCTGATGAAGGATCGTTTCTGCTGGGATCGTGCTTCCACCGTCAGTCTCTCGAGGCTCTGGATGGACTGCTCAGGGAGGTAGACAGATCTGAGGAGGGCTTAGAGGAGGAGGCAGAGCCGTCACGTCACTCACTTGACCACGTCAGCGAGGCTTCTGTCTCGCCTCGCAGGCTCCACCTCGATCAGATCCTACCGCTCCTTCATGCACGAAAGCGAGGAGGAGGAGGAGGAGGAGGAGGAGGAGGGGGGGGGGGGAAGGGGGGCGGGGGGGTAGAGACGGACGGACGGACGGACGGACGGACGGACGGACGGAGCAAGGGAAGCAGACGAGGTCTCACCTGCGACGACTCTTGTGTTTGCAGTGAGTTCACAACCTGCTTCTGCTTTCTCGGGCTCCAGACCCAGTCCAACCCGAACTTGCGAGACAGATAGCGGCCAACCTGATCTGTCAGCGCATGTCAGGACGCGCATCTGAAGCTTCCTTTTGCCTCTTCACCTATCTGAGAGTGCTTCAAGCGGTCAGCAAACGCGATGAACTCTACAATCTCTCCATCGAAATATTTTCTGGACGTGAGTTACACGTGTTGTTCATTGCAAGATAGATCGATACAACCTTCCGTCCGCGTCCAGCCCGAACAAGACATGAGTGAAGTAGGCCGAGGCTTCGGGTGACTGCGACAGGTCGACATGCCCGCTGCTGCTCTGTGAGCGCGAGGAGGGAGAGAGAGATGAGGAGCGGAGGGAGAGAGAGATGGAGAGAAAGAGAGAGGGAGGGAGGAGAGAAGGTGAGAACCTCGGCACGTTCCTACATCCGTTGATGTACATTGAGATCTGACTGCCAACCTTTCTTAGCAGGACGATGGAGAACTTGGTGGGGTCATCGCCTTCAGTCACACACGATTCCTTCCTGCCTGTCAGCGCGCCGCCATGTCTGCCTTCTCCGCACCTTTCCTGCATGGACCTTGAAGCGAGGCTCGTACGTCTTCTTGCCATCGAAGCTTTGTTCGATTGCAACTTGAAGCTGCTTGACTAGTCAGCTCCTCCTCTAGTGCCTCCCCTGCTCCCTCTAGTCCCTCCCCTGCTCCCTCTAGTCCCTCCCCTGCTCCCTCTAGTCCCTCCCCTGCTCCCTCTAGTCCCTCCCCTGCTCTGCCCACCTCAAGGCTCCAACCACTCTCGGAGTCCAAGAGCGTGAAGATGGGCCACGGGCTGCGGTCTGATCAGCCTCGAGCAGGAGACTTGTGTTCGGACCTGTTGCCCTGGCTGAGGTAGGACTTGCACACTATGAAGATGCTGAAGCTGCTCTCCTTGACCTGCGCCCGGTCAGACCTCGACGGAGCCGCATGCCTCCTTCACGTTGCCGCTGAGTTGCCTCGCAAGCATTGAGTTCTCTTGGATGTACATGTACTTGTCTGTGGAGAACTTGATGGAGGGGTAGTAGTTGATGATGTTTCTATGGTACAACCTTGACAACAAGGTATGAGGGGTATGAGAGGAGAGGTCTTCTCAGCTCACGGTTGGTACATGGCCGCCGGTTGACACGCGTGAGCCTGAATGCCTTGAAACACCTGAGAGCTCGCTCCAGCTGTGCCAGCTATGAGATGTTAGCGATGAGGAAGCAGGAGAAGGAGCATGAAGTAGGAAACAGAAGCAGGTTCAGGTGCAGGTGCAGGGAGTAGGAGCAACAGCAGCAGCAGCAGCAGCAGCAGCAGCAGCAAAGAAAGCAGCAGCAGCAAAGAAAGCAGCGGCAGGCCTCTTACTTGGGTTGAGGAAGAGCAGGTTGCCTTGCCTTGCTATCACTTCTATCCTTCTCTCTGGCACCTTTGAGTCCTCAACCTACTGGACGTCAGACCTTGTCGCGGGCCATGAAGATGCACAAGAACGAGCGGATGATCGGAGGAAGCAGCATCGAAGATGTCCAGAGCATCTGAGACAACATGATGAAAGATACACTAGCCCTAACTCAACCTTGCTGACTCGATATCTCAACTTGCGTTGCTCCTGATTGAAACGACTTGGAGCAGGTGATTCGGAGAGGGAGAGCACTGATATTCAATGTCAACCTCAATCGCACGAGGAGACACTCGCCTGTCATGTATGATCGCAGTCTTGCTGCCATGAGGTTGGCTGTGATACTCCAGCTCCTCCAGCTTCAGCCACCCGACAAGGAACTGAAGGAATCATCATGAAAACGACAACGAGCAGAAGGTGATTCGAAGATGAGTGATTGCGATGATACTACGGTCATGCTACCCAACGAACACAGGGAGGATGAAGCAGCAGGAGCATATGATCTCAGTGACCTTGAAGCTCGGGTTGGGCCAGGGACCAGATGGGCTACAGGTCATCCATGTCAAACGAGAGCAGCAGCCCGTCTCTCCCTCTCACCCTCGTTTACTTGCCTCCATGATGTCCTCCCGCTCCCTCGTCGCCATCCTCCGATCCTCCGCCATCTTCCGTTCTTCCGTCATGCCCAATCCTTCGTCATGCTTGATCCTCTGCCCTCTCCTCCTCCTCTTCTTGGCTCATCGCCTGATCTTGTAGGTGATTACTTGCTCGACGACACCAGGGCGAGGGCAGGAATCCAAATTTCCCTCCTCTCCTACCTGTCCCTCCCCCTCCCCCTCCCCCTCCCCCTCTCTCTCCCTCTCCCTCCTCTCCCTCCTCCCCCTCCCTCATCCTCTCCGTCCCCCTCCACCTTCTCTTCCCTACCTACCCGCCATTTATTAGGCCCGGCCAGGCATTTCAATATTCCAACCTACCAACTTACACGCCATGCCGAGCTAAGCCGTAGCGCATGGAGAGCAAGGTGAGCGAAGAGCAAAGCAGAGCAGAGCAGAGCAGAGCAGAGCAAAGCAGAGCAGAGCAGAGCAGAGCAGAGCAGAGCAAAGCAGAGCAGAGCAGAGCAGAGCAGAGCAGAGCAGAGCAGAGCAGAGCAGAGCAGAGCAGAGCAGAGCAGAGCAGAGCGAATGGTGGGAGGAAGAGGGCTGGTAGGAAGGGGAAAGGGAACGAATGGAGCCATATGAAGGGAAGAGAAGTCAGACAAGGAATGAGGACACAAGGAGGATGTTCTGAGATGTTGCTCACCATCGTTCAGCTTTTCTAGCAGCAGTCCTCATGCATGGCGCGTTTGTGCTACCAAGGTCGGATTCTCAAAGCACCATTCAGAGTGCAGCGACTGGGGTCAGGATGAAGGACTTGTTGACGTGTTGTTTCATCCTGACACCTTGTCAGAGATCCGACTCTCAAGCCTCTTCTCGTGATGACTCGTCTCTCCTCACCAAGCAGGTACCTCCCTCCTCTCCTCCCTCCTCTCCTGACTCACTCCTCTCCCTCTCCTCCCTCCTCCTCCATTTCCTCCTCCTCCCTTCTTCTCTCCCTCCTCCCCTCCCTCCTTCTCGTTGATTTTGGAGCAGCTGCAGTCCACGCTCTTCTCTCAGCGGGAGGATCGGCCAGGAGAGAAGCAAAGGAAGAGGTCGAAGCTCCAGAGCTTGAGCGAGGACGAGCTGCTCGAATGTCAGTTCGACCAAGTCATCGAGACCCTCAGAAGGCAGGAGGCAGGAGGGGTCCTCGCCCCCGCTCATCCCACCACAGGGTCAGCATCTTCTACATCAGTCGTCCAACGTCAAGCGATGAGGAGGAAGCAAACGATCATGCGAGCGAGAGCTCCTCCCTCAAGTCGTTCACGCGAAGCGCAGGTCCCTTGCTCCCTCCTCTCATACCTTATACTCCCTCCTCTCGTACCTTATACTCCCTCCTCTCATACCTTATACTCCCTCCTCTCGTGCCTTATACTCCCTCCTCTCGTACCTTATACTCCCTCCTCTCATACCTTATACTCCCTCCTCTCGTACCTTATACTCCCTCCTCTCATACCTTATACTCCCTCCTCTCGTACCTTATACTCCCTCCTCTCGTACCTTATACTCCCTCCTCTCATACCTTCTACTGCTTTCTCTTCTCATGCCTTTCTTATTTTCTCAGCTCTCGTCGCCTTTGCCGAGGACTTTGGCGTAACTCCCTCGCTGTACTCGAGCAGGTGTGTTGGTTTGAACTGACGCTTGTCAGCCTGCTGGAGGAAGCTATAACGGAGCTGGTAGAAGAGACGCATGAGACGAGGAAGCGTCGAGCGTGAGTTTCCCTCGCTCCTCTGCACTCGCTCAGCTGGGCTGCTGCAGGCATAAGCCGGACAGCGGGGAGATCTGGAGGCTTTTCATGGACTTCATCATGTTGTGTGCGAGGAGGGTGACAGGCATGAAGCCATACAACAACATGTTCAACGGCTACTCCCATCATGATAAGGTCGCGCTGCTGTCTGTGAGCTCAGCGAGCTGACGTGCGGCAGGTCCGATCCTTCATCCAGTTTCTCATGATGGACGACATGGAGTTCGTTGAGTCGGTACCGAGACAACCTCCTGCTCCAGTCCTTGACCTCTTGACAGGTGCTGGAAAACGATTCAAGCCCGTCGATGAGCTTGTTTTCATCCAGTCAGCAAGTCGTTATGAGGTTAACATTGAGTGCTAGTTCCCACCACACGACCTGAGACACGTGCAAACAGGCAGAGAAAGAGTCGTCCAAGAACAAGAAGTACGATAACGTCGATCAAGCTCGCCAAGGTTCTCTTCCTTCCACTCCTCAATCCCTCCCTCCTCTCTCCTTCACCGTCCTCTCCGCGTTCTCCCTGACGTCGCTAACTTGTTGGCAGCTCTGTCCAAGAGCTGGTCCCACCTCTACTTCCTGTTCAAGTTCTTCTGCTTCCAGGAGGACAGGGAGCTTCCAGGTGACGATTGACCTCCATGAGCCGGGAGATGACAAGACCCGACAGACGCACACAAGTTCACCAGCATGATCGGAGCCAATCCCAACGAGCAGAGCAAGGACGAGGACGGCAACCGGGAGCAAGGTGGAGGAGGAGATTGGTTTATACCTCTTGCTAAACGTGAAGACAGATAAAGAAGGTGAGAAAAAGATGGAGCTGTCAAGAAGAAGCAGTCAAAGATCCCAAAACAATCCTCCCATTCTCAAGAAACGAAGCTCCGAGATGGTACTCACAGAGAGAAAAGTCGACAAACAGGACAAGAATGATTCTCCCGCAGTCTCAGGAACATGTTTGTTTTCCCTTGTTTTGCTCATGACAAAGTTCTTCCAGAACGCAAAGAGGTCACCAACAAACTTCAGCGAGTGCCGTTGTTGAGGTTGGAACGTTCAAACAGTCAGCGAAGAGCCTTGGAGGAAGGCGACGGTGGAGGCAGTGAGGAGACAGGTTACAAGGAAGAAAGAAGGATGAAGAACCTACCCTGCGGGCCCCAAGTGCTCGACATGCTGTACAAGATCCGTCCTCAGTCTCTGTACGAGCATGAAGCTAAGGTACAAGGAGGCTGTTGGAGCCCCTGCTGACTTGAGGCCTTTAGAAGTCGGGGGCGAGAACGTTCATCACAGGTGGGTGGAGAGGAAGGAAAGGGAGGGGAAGGAAAATGAGGAGGAGGAGGAGGAGGAGGAGGAGGAGGAGGAGGAGGAGGAGGAGGAGGAGGAAGCACACAGGAAGGGATGGGGAAGGAGCGCGGGGAAGAAATCTAACTGTTATGTGCAGAGAACCGACCGAAGGTCAAGAAAGATCTCGCAAAGAAGGTGAAGGCAATCATGTGGGCGAAGCGAATCTCCTCCGCGAGAGCGCCCCAGGACATGAGGATGAAGACGAGGCTGGGGAGGCAGGAGGAAGTGCTGACCCGAGTAGCGTCCGATGACTTGGCGCTTCAGAACAAGGTCACGGAGTCATGGGAGCAGATGTGAGCAGTGGGGTAGCTGGGGCCGGGAGCTGACATTGCGAGCAGCAGCAGAGTCTCTCAAGACTTCGAGGCCGCAGCTCGCAAGATCCAGAAGCTGTGCAGGTCATGGCTGACGAGGAAGATAATCAGCGAAGGAAAATTCCTGCGAGACGGTTTAAAGGCCTGGTTGTCATCTAATACGAAGAGCGACAAGAAGGATGAGGTGGGAAGGATGCTTTCAGCCTCTCATACCATAACATACTCTCATACTACCTTACTCTCATGATATTCTCTCATACTACCTTACTCTCATGATATTCTCTCATACTACCTTACTCTCATGATATTCTCTCATACTACCTTACTCTCATGATATTCTCTCATACTACCATACTCTCATGATATTCTCTCATACTACCTTACTCTCATGATATTCTCTCATACTACCATACTCTCATGATATTCTCTCATACTCCCTTACTCTCATGATATTCTCTCATACTACCATACTCTCGCAATCTCATACCCTTGAATTTTTCTCTCTTGACAGGTCAGGATGCGGCTGGCAGAGCTGATCAAGTTCTGTCGGATCTTTCAGCTCTGTCCAGCTCTGATCAGCGAGTCTCGACTCGTCGACATCGCGAGGGCAGCGTCACAGACGAGCTTCAGCGCAGACAAACCGGCGGTGGTATGGATCAACTGGAGTTGCTTTCAGAGCATCATCTACGAGGTCGCAATGTTCCGAGAGCGACAGAAGAAGGCCAAGGATCAGAGTATCCTCAAGGAGGGAGAGAGCGAGCTTGACATCGTAAGACTTGCCCTGCCGGTCGACCCTCCTGACCTGCTTCCCAGCTGATCAGGCTCGATGAGACTGTCAACTTCCTCCTGACAGGCAACGGCGAGCATTCCTTCGACCCCTCTCAGCCCGCCGCCTCCATCAGGACCAGAGTGCTCGCCTACTCCGTCGCCAAGGACGTGAAGCACAAGAGCCGGCTGGCAGAGTGTGTCAAGAAGGTTGAGAACACTCTCGCTGTCACCCACAAGCTCGAGAAGGGGGGGGGGAAGGCGGCGGAGCAGCCGGGGGAGCAGACGGCTCAGAGCCTGGAGCTTCGCCGATGTCTGGACGGCTACATCAACGCGTGCAGGCAGCACAAGCTCACCCCTATCCACACGCTCATCGCTCAGCTCCCCAAGGCGAGGGTGGACCTGTGCCACTACTCGCTGAGGGGGCACAAGGCCGCCACGTTCGGGGCCAGCATGGAGCACAACTCGTGGATCTCCGAGCTCTGCCTCTGCGACTGCAGGATTGCCGCCGACGAGCTGGCGACCATCCTGACGGCTGTGAGTAAGACGGGGCTGACGAAGCTTGACCTCTCGGAGAACTACCTCAACAAGCCCGGGCTCGAGGCCCTCGCGGAGTTCCTGAGCTCCTCCAAGACGCTCGTGAGCCTCAAGGCGCGAGGAGGTGAATCCCTGTTGTTGTCTGCCTCCTCTGACCCCTGCCAGTCGCTCTTGACGACTCAGGTTGGGACTTGCTTGTTCACAGCGGCTTCGAGAACAGCTCCTCTCTCACGACCATCGACGTGGCGTACAACCAGCTGACTGACGCGAGCCTCGACAACGTCGAACATCTTGTCTTCACCAAGGCCATCACCAGGATCAGCTTCGCGTGGAACTTGTACGGTCCTGCCTTGCTGCCTTTCTCCTCCTCCTCCTCCTCTACCACCAACACCACCTTCCAGTCTAATTTTATCTTGGGCAGATTCACACAAGCCGGGATTCAGCGTATGAGGAAAGCTGCGTCAGAAAGGACCAAGTCGTCTCGAAGGTGAGCAGATGAGGGGGGAGGGGGAAGTGACTTGCTGCTCAGGAGCAAGACTCCTCGCATCTCAAACCTCCCTGCCATCCTGATCGTCGCTGATCCCGCCAGGATGCAAAACCTCGTGGAGAGGTGAGAGAGGGAGTGACGAAGGGAAGGAGAGGGAGAAGGAGAAGGAGAGGGAGAAGGAGAAGGAGAGGGAGAAGGAGAGGGAGTAGGAGAAGGAGAGGGAGTAGGAGAAGGAGAGGGAGTAGGAGAAGGAGAGGGAGGGAGGGAAAACGAGAGAGCGGGGGGGAGAGGGAGGGGGGAAGGAGGGGGGCGGAGCTGACGGCTGCCAGGGCAAGAAAGAACGGGCTGACCGATAGAGTTGCGGAGGAAATGAGTAAAGTAAGAGGAGGAGGAGGAGGAGGAGGAGGAGAGGGAAGGAGGGTGTGAGGGAGGGAAAGGGGAGGATGTGTGCGTGTGGGGGGGCGGGCAGGAGGAAGACACTTGACGGCGTGCTGACTGCGCGCAGGTCGACTACATGTCGATGTTCGTGGTGCTACGAAACCCGACGCTGTCGCACCTGTCAAAGCTACAGATCCTCCGGATGATGAGCTCGGACAAGTTCCTTACAGCAGACATGATCGTCGAGATACTGACCAAGTGCTTTCATGAGGTGAGAACGGTGATGGCAATGACCATTACGAGGAGGAGGAGGAAGAGCAGCAGCAGCAGCAGCAGCAGCAGCAGCAGCAGCAGCAGCAGCAGCAGCAGCAGCAGCAGCAGCAGCAGCAGCAGCAGCAGCAGCAGCAGCAGCAGCAGCAGCAGCAGCAGCAGCAGCAGCAGCAGCAGCAGCAGCAGCAGCAGAGGAGCAGGAGAGGAGAAAGAAAAGCAGAGAAGGAGGAGAATGGAGAAGAGGGGGAAGAGTGCATGACATGCGGAGCAGGCAGAGGAGCCGGTGAAGAAGAAGACTCTTTCGGTTCTACTGCGGAAGACGCAATATCCAGAAGATCTCGTTGCGATTTCCAACGGACTGCAGAAGACAGACTTCAGCAGGCATGAAGCCTTACAGTCTCGGTCGAACAGAAGCTTTCGCAGCACTGATATGGACAAGATATGACATTGAGGAGCGGGAGACACTGATTGTACAGTCACAAGAGCGAGAAGAATAAAATCACGAGTAAGATAGCGTTGGACGATGCAGAGAGCTTCCTCTACATCGCGATTGAAGCGTGCGATGGCGGGTCATCAAGTAGCAAGCTTCTCGTTTTCCTCTTCACTGCAACGAGAACGTGAGACGAGAAGAAAACAAGATCAAGAGCAAACCTGGTCTTCTCAAACACAGCACTGCAATCCACCGGGAAGAGCAGAGAGACGGGTACCGTTCAGAGACAACACGAGCTCAACAATTTCACAACTCACCTGACTGTGAAGAAGTTCAATAATCCAGTGAGGAGAAGAGACGCCAAGAATCCAAGAGGGTTCAGCCACTTGAACAGCCATGAAGCGCCTGTCTGAGCGATGTACATCTGCACTCCATCAACTGACGGGAAATCAGGTTCGCAGACGACTAACCTTCCCCAAGCCGATGCATCCTTCAGTGATCATGGGGTTGAGAACAAAAGCAATCGAGTAAGCCATGTAGATGCCTGTCAAGCAGATGAGAAGGAGTTAAGTAACAGCTGCAGTGGCAGACAGACGAAGGGGCTGGTGTAACAGTCGAAGAGGCTGGTGGAGGGAGAGAGGAGAGGGAGATCATGACTGCAGCAATGGTTCATACTTGCACGGAAGACCAGGGAACGAAGAGAAGGAGGGGAAAGGGTAAGGAAATGAGAGGCAAGGACAGTGGGTGGGAAAGGGAAGGAGAGGGAGGAGCGGCAGTGGGGAGAAATTAGAAAGAGGAGGAGCAGTTGGGGGAGGGGGAGGAAGGGGAAGGAGGAAGACGTCGGTCACCCGCAAGTTCCTTGAGGTAGATGGCGTTGATCTGTAGATCTTTCCCGTAGACTAGGACGCGATGGAGGGCGTGCTGCCAGGAGACGCTGCAGAGGTACGCGATGGTGACTGAGATGCCTGCGCTGGTGATGAACCCGAGGAGGATGGAGTAGAGGCCGAAGTAGAGCACGTTGGCGATGCCGCAGCTCACCGTGTACCGCACTGTGAGCGGCACCTGAGAGTTGAAGACTTCCAGCACGCGCAGCTGCGAGCGAAGGTCCTGGGGAGCCGTTCGGAGGACGGGGAAGATGCCTTCGCCGTTGCCCTCTGAGGCAGCGAGGGAGGAGCCTCCTCGGAGCCGATGCAAACGATCCTGAGCGCCGCATCGTTGCAGCCAGGCGGAGCTCGAGGAGGGGGGAGTTACGAGGTAACCGATCCTCGAGGAGGTCTGAAGACCCGTACCGAGGTCGACATGAAGTGCGATGACAGCAAGAAGAAGGGAAGAAAACTTCATGCCGTGATTGATGGATGAGATAAAGAGACTAAGCGAGCATGGAGCCCTGGTCAAGGAGGGTCAGTGAAACATATTCGATTTCAAATCAACCTCCTCTTCGAACTGCAATCCATTCATCCTCTCCCCTTCTTCCACACCACTCTGTTCCATCCCTGCCTCCCTGCCTCCCTGCCTGAATGCATCCCTCCAACTTCCCATCCTTTTTCATCTTCTTCCGCCATCTGCATTCCTCTCGCTTCTCTCCTCAACTCTTCAATGACTGCTCGGCATTTCGATGCAACTCTTTTCGTTTTCCATCTCCTGTCTGCAATCCTGTTCTGTCATGTATCCTCTCCTCTCCTCTCCTCTCCTCTCCTCTCCTCTCCTCTCCTCTCCTCTCCTCTCCTCTCCTCTCCTCTCCTCTCCTCTCCTCTCCTCTCCTCTCCTCTCTGCTTCCCTTGACTCCTTTCTCCTAGTTTCGTGGTGAAAAAAATTATTCTTTCTTGCTCTTTTTTTTTGGCCCCTCTACAGATCGTTGGGTACTAGGAATTCGTCAATCACCCCACCCCTCATTCAAAAACTTTCATATAGACCCCCTTGTTTCAATGTTAAAGTACCCCTACTCCATCATTTCTCATGTCAACCACCGGTACATACCTCTTATAAAGCCTGTTGAGAGGCCCGTCACTGAGTCACCCGGCAGTGAAGTCCCGCCTGGCCGGGCCCGGCGCCCGGCCGGGTCTTCAACGGTGAACTCCGAGGCTCGGAATTTGTGTAGTAACGGGTGGTAACCGTTAACTTGTAACTTTGAGTAAAGAACCGTGGTCAGACTCTCGCACTTTTCCATACCGTGTCTTCGGACTGGCGCCGGGCCGGCGAGACGCCGGGCCGGGTTGACTGCCCGGCGGCCGCCGCCGCCGCGGGCCGGGCCGGGCCGGCCGGGCCCGGCGGCGGCCCCGGCGGGGCTCGGAACCCGGCTGAGGCTCCGAGGCTCGATTCAATCAGTGACTTGGCCCCCCGGGCCGTCGGGGGCCATCGGCCCGATCGACGGTCCGGGTGACCGGGAATCCGGCCGGGCGGGCGGCCCCTCACTGACCTGTACTCAATGTTTATAGGACAGTTGCATGCGAGATAGGGATTTCTATTTCATTTCTGTAAAGCTGCAATATTTTAATGGTCTCGGAATGGAGCCGCGCTGAATCCGATTCTATTTCGTTTATTGCGAATGTGCAGGGATTTGAAACATTTGCAACAAATTTACTTTAAAACCACCATAACGCATTGAACTGACGGGGGATAGAAAACAATAAAACGTTTAATTCCAATAAAATTTCTGTAATGTTGTCAACTACTTGGTTTTTTGTAGTACTGCTGGTTTGGGTCAAAGTCCGCGCGGAGTCTAGTCATATTCCTCGTCCTCGTCCTCGTCCTCCTCGTCCTCGTCCTCGTCCTTCTCCTCTCCCCCTCCTCCACCCATCCAAGGCTCCTCTCTGCTACGTCCCCATCTTCGCGCTGAACTTCTTCTATCCTCCTGCTTCGCCCCGATTCTACTCAGTCTCTCGATCCTCCTCGTCCTCGTCCTTTCGGATTCCGCGAGTCTGTTCTCCAAGACTTCTTCATCCCTCCTCCCTGCTACTCTTTCAAGTTTTGATTCTGATCAAGATTTTCTCTACGTCTTCCTTTGCACAATTTGTCCTTCTTTTATCTCTTTGGTTTTCACACCATTCCGGTTGATTTTATGCCTGCTCATCTTTATGACTTGAACTCTATTACTGTCTTCGCCCATCCTCTCTACTTCCCCGTTCTCTCAAGTTTTGACTTAAATCATTTTTGCATCCCATTCTCTGTCATGTCTTCTTCTACGTGTATCGTTGATCGTCATCTCATTTCTTGGATCATCTTGCATTCTTTCCGCCTTGAACTGTTGGTTACGGTCTGGTGTTCTTTTCACCCATATCAAAAGCTGCTCCGTGTTGCTCGATCTATTCGTCTCCTCCTCCTCTCCTCCATTCAATTCCCTTAAATTCCGATTTTCTGCATTTCCGTTGACTCTCCCTGCTTGTCAATTCCTTGAATTACAAGGCAGTTGCCTTGAAGTGAAGTGCATTGCACATTGTTGACGAGCAGGGTTTGAAGCTGACCATCAAGTTTTGAAGCAGATGATCAACGAGACTGCCTAGAGTACATCATTGGTCGGGAGATACCAATGGAAGACAACACCAAGGTCGAGACTCATCCTCTCATCCTCTCATCCTCTTACGCTGACTCGACCTTCAGGCCGATACCAACCTCCCCAAGACCCTCGATGAGGCCCTGACCTACATCAAGAGTCTCAAGTACCCCGTCGGGCACTCGCACCTGAGGTGACACCTGGAGCAGGGACACCAACTCCCTTCTTGAAGCGAAGAACCATGCGCTCTCACTTCGAATCGCCTTCCTCCAGAAGAGACACAAGGTGAGTCACTTCCCCTCTGACATCCCCTCCCGTTGCTGCCGTCCTCTTGGTACCCTTCTCACGTGTTTGACAGGCTGCTCAGGCACAGCTGGGCGCTCCCTCACATCACAGAGCAGCCGAGCTGGTGCTCAATTCGACCAAACCATCCGGTGCCTCTCGATTGCTGAAATTCTATAGACTCACGATCGAGGGTACAGAAAAGTTCGTGGATGACGGCAAGACTCAAATGTCGAGGTCTCAGCTCCAGCAGATGATCAAGCTCACCTTCGACAACACGACGGCTGCAGATGTGAAGCACTTCGTCCTGGGCGACCCTGTGCTCTCAAAGAAGGTAATCCGCTATCAGGCTTGCATCACCCCCAGTGCCCTTACTGTCTTCAGGCGAACGGATTGATCAGTGCCCTGTGTACCAGCGCAGAGAATGGCATTAGCGAAGACGAGGTCCGAGTGAGGAGATGCATTTCAATGCCATGATGGTTGTTGTACAGGTTGAAGACCGTCAGAAGAAGTTCGGGAAGAATGAGATCCCGATGGAGCCTCAGACCTCAATCCTTGTCCTGATGTGGGAGGCCCTGCAAGACCCTACCTTGATCTTCCTGTGCTTCGCCGCCATCGTCTCTCTTGTCATCGGAGTCTTCGTGGAGAAAGATCCCATGGGCTGGCTTGAAGGCACGGCTATCCTGACTGCAGTCGTCGTCGTCGTCCTCGTGGGCTCGATCAACGACTATCAAAAGGAGAGTCAGTTTCGGTCGTTGAACGCCAAGAAGGATGACATGACAGTAACGGTCATACGAGACGGTCAGAAGAAGGAGATGTCCTGCCACAACCTCGTTGTGGGCGACATCCTCCTCCTTGGCACTGGCGACATTGTCACGTGCGACGGGTACGCCATCGGGCCCAACGACCTGCAGATCAACGAGAAGATGCTGACTGGGGAGACTGTGAACAAGAGGAAGGGTGAGTACGAGCTCGACGGGGATCGGGTGGTCAAGTCTCCGATCCTGTTCGCCGGCACCCAAGTGCAGGACGGCCAAGGGAAAGTCCTTGTGTTGGCTGTGGGAACCGCTACCTATCAAGGTACAATGCAACAGAAGATGGACGAAGCTGGTGAGCTTGACTGCTGACTATTATCCTGCCTCTGCTCGCAAGTTGACCCTTCTACCTTGCAGATGCTGAGCAATCCAGGAGCATCTTGCAGCAGAAGCTTGACGACATGACTTCATACATCACCAACGCTGGAGCAGCATTCGCCATCGTCACCGTCCTGATCCTCTGCTTCAGGATGTACCTCGGGTTCCATCAGGGCCTCTGCTGCAAGGAAGCGTGGGATCACGCGGTGCACTGGTCGGAGCTGCTATCCTTTCTGATCTCCGGCGTCACTATTTTCGTCGTTGCCGTCCCCGAGGGCCTCCCCCTCGCCGTCACCATCGCACTTGCCTTCTCGGTTAAGAAGATGCTCAAGGATCAGAACCTCGTCAGGCACCTCACAGCATGCGAGACGATGGGAGGGGCTACGACCATCTGCTCTGACAAGACTGGAACTCTGACGACGAGCAAGATGACTGTCGTCAAGGTGTTCTGCGACGGCAAAGTCTTCACCATGGAGACGTTGCGGCTCTCGCCGATCCTCAAGAAGCTGCTCTGCGACGCCGCTGTGGTCAACACCATGTCGAAGACGAACCTAAGAGGAAGCAGCAAGAGTAAGGAGCCCGACTACCTCGGCAACGATACTGAGTGCGGGCTGCTCGTCATGGCGAACAAGATCGGTGCCAACGGGAAGCCGATCGACTATGACTCGGAGGATCAGGAGTACAAGAGAATCCGTAGAGAGTTCCCGGAGGAGATGGAGGGCAGGAAGCAGTTCACCTTCTCCTCGGATAGGAAGAGAATGAGCACGAGAGTGAAGATCGGGCCCGGAAAGTACCGGATCTTCTGCAAGGGAGCAGCTGAGATGGTGGTGGAGCTGTGCACCCACAGGTACAACATGGACGGAAGCGTCGAGCCGATGACGCCCAAGATCAAGAAAGAGATTGATGACGTCATCAACCAGTTCGCTGACGAGGCTCTTCGCACCATCTGCCTTGCCGTGAGGGACGTGAGCGTGGAGATTGACGACGTGGAGGAGGCTGAGAAGAACTTGACCATGATCGGGCTCGTGGGCATCGAGGATCCTGTGCGCGAAGAAGTTCCTCTTGCCATCCAGCAGTGCCGACAGGCCGGCATCATCGTGAGGATGGTGACGGGAGACAACATGAAGACAGCAGCTGCCATTGCCAAGAAGTGCGGCATCATCGACAAGGAGGAGGAGGGGAACGTCATCGACGGCAAGACCTTCCGTGAGCGGGTGGCTCCCGGAGACGTGCTGGACCAGCAGGAGTTTGACAAGGTCTGGCCGAAGCTGAGAGTCATGGGCAGGTCGACTCCTCTTGACAAGCATCTCCTCGTCTCCGGCATCCAAGCCAGCAAGATTGGCGTCTCGCAGACAGTGGCTGTGACCGGGGACGGCACCAACGATGCTCCTGCTCTGAAGAAGGCGGATGTTGGCTTCGCGATGGGCATACAAGGGACGGACGTGGCGAAGAACGCTTCTGACATCATCATCATGGATGATAACTTTGCGTCCATCGTCAAGGCCGTCATGTGGGGCCGTTGTGTCTACGACAACATATGCCGCTTCCTTCAGTTCCAGCTCACCGTCAACATCACCGCCATCGTCGTTGCCTGCGTCGGATCTGCGGTCTTGACATCGAGCCCGTTGACGGCCATCCAGATGTTGTGGGTCAACCTCATCATGGACTCCTTTGCCTCCCTCGCTCTCGCGACGGAGGACCCGAGCGTGCAGCTGCTGCAGAGGAAGCCGTATCCCCGCAACCGAGGAGTTCTCTCTAAGATCATGATGAAGAACATGATCCTCCACGCGCTCTGGCAGCTCGTTGTGCTCGCCGTCCTCATCTTCGCCGTCGGTGACGTCTGCAAGCCCAACCAGCAGCTCTGCGACTGCACCAAGTCGCCTCTCTCCAGCCTCACGGGATATTGGGGCTCGAAGCCCTTCCATGTACCCAGCGGCCGCCCCAAGTCCTACGACTTTGCCAGCACAGCAGCGTCAGGAGCCTGCCCTCCGGTGTTTGACCCCAAGGATAAGAAGACGTTCGAGAAGAGGCGGGGTAAGATTGTGCCGCTAAGAAGCGAGGACTACTGCCACCACTCCAAGGGCGGCGCCGCCGAGACCACCCAGCACTACACCATGATCTTCAACGTGTTTGTGCTGATGCAGGTGAGAGAGGACAAGGGAGGAAGTGGAAGGAGGGAGAAGAAAGGAAGGAAGAAGGGAGGAGGAGGAGGAGGAGGAGGAGGAAGGCAGGGCAACGGGACTGACTTATATCCAGCTCTTCAACGAAATCAACAGCAGGAAGATACACAACGAGTGGAATGTTTTCTCAGGCATCTTCAATAACTTCCTCTTCCTTTTCATCGTTATCGGCACGATGGCTGCACAGGTACTACTAAATCCTGCTGCTGCTGCTGCTCCTCCTCCTCCTGCTGCTGCTCTCTGCTCCTGCTCCTGCTCCTTTTCTCTGCACCTTTTTATTCTTCAATATCCCTTCCTGGTATCTCTGCTCGTCTACGCTTCTCCTGCCTTTCTGCTGCCCCTGTCCTGTCAAACTTCTCCTTGTCTGGACATGACGATCCCTCAGGTCGCTCTTATCGAGGTCCCCGGACTTAACACGGCATTTGGGTGTCAGAGCTTGACCCCCGACCAGTGGGTGAGGCTACTCATACCTCCTGATCTTGTTCCCCGTCCTCCTGCTCCTTCTCCTCCTCCTGCTCCTCGTTCTCCTGCTCCTCGTTCTCCTGCTGCTGCTCCTCTTTGCCCCTCTCTCCTGCTCCTGCTCCTCGTTCTCCTGCTCATCCTCCTCTTCGGCCCTCCCGCCCGCTCCTCCTGCTCCTGCTCCTGCTCCTGCTCCTGCTCCTTATTCCCCCTCCCCGCTGCTCTGCCTTCTCTTCTCCTCCTCCAGTCTTGCTCTGATCTGCACTCTCTCCTCCTCGTTCATCATCCTTCTATGTTCATCCCTTGCTCTACCGGTATCTTGCCAACTCTTTGCCGTTCTCACACCTAAACCCCCCACTATCTTGTCTCCCCGTTCCCTTGCTCCCTCCTCTCGTCTTACTTCTTACTCAGCTCATCTGCATTGTTCTCGGATTTTCCACCATCCCTTTCAACTTCATTGTCAGGCTGGTCCCGAGCGAACTTTTTCCTGGCAGTTAAAGAGGAGCTGGAGAGACAGCGAGGGAGGGGCGAGGACTCTTGCCGTCCCTTCTCTCCTTCCCAGCTCGTTCGCTTCACATGCTGGACGACTAAGACTTGAGCTTAACTTGAGCTTGATTATATTAAGATCAAAGCGACACCAGCCCTCTGTGCTTCTCGCTCGGGTCGTATTCCCACTGTGACGAAGTGAATTTCTCAGCTCGCACGTCCTCGACTCGAGCTGAGGGCATGCTGGGCTTGTCGTCCTCCATCTCTGCCTCAGGCCTGTAGTGCGACCGGCTTGTGCTGGGGGCGCTCTCGTCGCCCTGGTGGGCAGCCTGCTGGACAAGGAACTTGTTCAAGACGTTCTGGTCCGGCTCATATTTCTGCACGGCCTTGAAGTATCCTCTAGAGACCAGCTTGCCCCTGTCTCCCATTCCCTCCTCTCGCAGCCTGTTCAGGTGCTCCTCGAAGCTGCCCTCCCATAACTTCATCCCCCTCCCCGCTCCTTCGCCCACACGCAGACTGCCCTGCCTCACCTCGGCTCCTCTCAGCTGGACCTCTGCTGTCCTATTCCTCCGCTCGATAGCCTCCTCAACTGTCTCTTCATCTTGTGCAGTCTCGCCCTCCTTACGTTCAGGTCTGGTGGTGGTCTTCTCGGCAGGAGCTTGCCTCTCCTCCATGGGCGCGAACTCAATCTGGGAGGTCACGACGTGGTTGACCTGCTCCATCACCACCTTCCCTCGCTCCCTCCGCATGCTTGTCTGCACCACAATCAGCCCTCACACCGTCATCAACATCGCACGTGCACTCGCCTGCCGGTAGTAGAGGTTGTAGCCCATGACTGGCTGTCTCCGACTGTCAGGGGCTTCTGCTGACTCGTTAGTTCGAGTAGTCGACGCGGTCACAATCAGGGACCTTCAAAGACTCCTGGGATGGTGCCAGCGCTCGCATGTTCCTGTTCTTCAGTAGCAATCAGCGTCGAGTCCGAGCTATCAAACTTGTGCTTCTCATCCAGCCCGACGGTCGTGGTCGTCCTGGGGCTGAACTGGATGAACTCGGGGCGAGCTTGAGACTTTTGCCTACCCCTCAGACTTGCACAGCGGGTTAAGAAGAAATTAAGGATGGACTTGACGCCCTGCCAGAGCTCACTCAAGGCTGCTCGGAATGAAGAGTTCTTTCTGTAAGCGAAGCAGTAGGAGCTCAGGACAACGACGACGATGATGATGGCGATCCAGTAGTATGCAAAGGCAGGTCTGTTTGGCTCTCTCGGAATCATTCCATCCACCTGCTGGCTCGAAGGAGCTTGAGACGTGTTTGACGGGGCCACGCACGGCAGGCAGCACGTCAAAGCACAGGCAGGGCATCGGATTGAATCAGAGCAGCACCAGGTTGACTCGTTACATGACACGATGTAGCGGAGTGAACTCAACGACCCGAAGGTCCAGCTGACGTCACTTACCCTCAGGACTCGCAGAGCTGTGTATATCTTCTGCACATTCTCATAGCTCGACCCCACCACTCTCAAGTCGATCTGGTACGTGAACTGGGGAATGTTGGCTGACCTCCTCCCTGACATCAGGTGCACCAGGTTCACATAGACGTCGTTGGCCGTCAGTGAGAGGAACGTCGCTACTCCCGTGCGGATCCTCCATTCCTCCGTAGCGTTAAAGGCGGAGCTCAGATTCATCAGCAGGTTGGCATACACAAGATCAGAGGTGACATTGCAGTAGAGCCCGGTATGCCTTCCCTCAGGGCAAGTGCACTGACACGCGTTCTTGCTGCGCTGCTGACCCCCGTTGTAGCATGTCAATCTTGGGCAGCACTGCGAACTCAAAGCAGCTCTGTCTTTGACGCAAGAGTCCAGCATGCACGAGAATGTGGCGACCTTTGACTGGTCGACACAAGTTGGTCGGTCGTACGTTCTGGTCCATCCGTAGGGCAAGGCCACCTCGACCACGTTTTGACCGTCAGGCATCAGTTGACCCCACCAGTCCTGCAAGACTCGTCACTGCGGGCCAGGAGAGCGAGAAGTTCACCGTCTGAAAGCTGGCGATGTGCTCGTAACAACATGGATTCGTCATGGCAAACTGTCTAATTCTATCTTGGCAGCCGGTTCCACAAGAGAAGGCGAGGTCGAAGAGCGGTAGAGCGTTCTCAGCTCCCGTCCCTTGCGCGGCTCGACATCCAAGACCGTTGGTGAAGAGAAGATCGTAGCTTTCAACGGCATCCAAACAAGTGTCACGGACGATGTCATCCGAACAACTCAAGTTCAGCCAAAAGCTGTTTGTGGCCAAGTCACTCGGAGAAAGGATTTCATCGAAACGATCGTTTCACCTGGCATCCAGTACAGTCTGGAATATCGTGAAGCTCACACCGTTCCACCTCGATGGGCCGAGCTTCATCATCTTCTGCCAAGAATTTCGACATATGTCGACAGCATTCAACAGCGTTTGAGAGAAAACTTTCACACAGCCTGATTTGCACGCAATCTGAACGAGCGATCTGTCAAAGGAGTATGCGTATCGCGCTCCGACTCCAATGTCTGCGGCATCATCAGCCTTGCAATTGAAATGTGAGATCAGACCTGTCATAAAGAGACTGCCCACAGACCGACATGACGGATCTGACAGCGACGGAAACGTGTTGGCAGCAAACGATCCATCCCCTTGGTTCACAGGAAGGCCAGAAGCAAGCTTCAAGTAGTTGTACCACATGGCTGACTCGTGCAAGGCGAGGAGGAAAGGAGATTCGGTGCTGAGATCTGTGTTGTTTGACCAGGGTATAGTGCTCAGCTTCAATCTCTCTGAATCAGACATGATCGAAAAGTGCCTGACAAACCAAAAGTCAGTTACGATTCTGACTACAAGTTTCAAGGACTTGCCATTCTGTGTGAGGGTTGGTCTTCTCCTTCTGCAAGCTCAAGGTCGGATTAGATTCCCATGTTGCCGCAAACGAAGACGAGGTGCTCCACCACAGACCAGCATGGGTAGAGTCCGAGAGCTCTAGGATGAAGAACCTCTCTTCTCCTGCTGTCCACGAGGTCCATGTAGACTCTGTGACCAGGATCTCGAGGCGGAAGTAAGTAGACGTTCCGCTGTCGATGACTTTGCTGCTCTGATTGAGCAAGACAGCATTGACGAGGCCTTGAGAACAAATTGATGCATTTGAAACTGCCGTGATGAAGAATTTCAGGAGTTTGTTCCTCGTGCTCAGCCTCAGTTGGCATGGCCCGAGCGAAAGCATCCAATCGGCCTGGAGGAAATTCTCATACCGTGACGCGGCAGCTGTTTGGAATTCCTGCGGCAATTTGATGGAGTATGGGAAAGAAGAAACGTCGCTGCAAGATTGAGTGCTACAAGACGATGCAGCTGAATTGCTGGATCCATTGAGGAAAATCCAGTCACTAGTACCAAACAAGCTGCAGTCACAAACTCCATAGAACTGTAGTAGCAATCCTCCTTCGAAGGAGATGAACTGTGCGTTGCGAAAGGAAACTTGCAAGTTTTGTGCGGAGACAAATCCCCATAGGTGAGAAGGCAACCCAATAGACGATGAATTGTAATCGATGACAACCACGTTCGAGCCACTCACGTTGGTTCTCGTCGGAGCTTCGGGAGCAGGGGTGGTGGAGATCGTTGCGGCTGTAGTCGTCGTGGAAACTCGCTGAGCTGGTGCGGATGTTGCTGCCAACCATTCAGGTCCTTGAGTCAGAAAGTCCATACGTCACCCGTCGAGATTGGAGCCTTGATCATCTTGCAAAAGAATTGAAAATTGTTAAAGCTTGGAACCCACTGGCAACGACAGATATAAGACTCAAGATACCAGTAGCTTTGACATTTTACCTTGTCCACTTGGCAGGTCAAGATTTCAGTCTGTGAGGTGGAGCTGACATCCGAATCTAGTGCGACGGCTCTGTAGTACCCAGACGCACAGGAAATCTTGTAGCTGCCAGCTGATGTCAGAGAAGATTTGAAGGTTGATGAACAACGTGGAAGGGTAGCCGAGGATGGTATCAACAATCTCGACAACGGTGTGGTTGAAAGCTGAGAAATCCAGGGGAACCTTCAACAAATCTCAACATGGATCAGACTTGATAATCTTTCAAAACTTACACATGTAGCAAGATCAACGCAGCTGATCTGCAATTGCAAATCAGGGCCAGGTGAGTCAGTGAAAGCTTATCACCGAGCTGCATGAAAGTACATCCTTGCAATTGCAGATTGGAATTGTAGAGCCGCCGATGTAGACGTCGATCTCAATTGCTGGTGTCTTGTATGGTTTGGAGTCTTTCCCGGTAAGCTGGAATCCTGCAAGACATCTCAACCGGTTCTTCACAAGGGGAAGGAAAACCCAAATCCGTCGGAATGATGTTGGTGCCGAATGGTTGAAGTTCAGCAGAACCTGTTCCAACAGGTCAGGAGCTGAAAACAAGTGCATTCCTTTCTTCTCTTCCCGTGCTCCAAGTGTTGCCAACCACATCACACGCTAGAGACTGAGAGTAGAATGCGACTGTATAGCTTCCAGTCCCGGCGCTGTCGATCTCAAAGTCCATGGCTCCTCTTTCATAGAGAGGTGAGATGATTGCGATGCAGATGACACAAGGCAACCTGTTTCTAGGTGACGGACCTGGTTGATAGCTTTCATAATCCCCGACAAAGTACGCTGGTCTTATACATCAATTGTGAAAGAGCGTTTGGGTATGGTCACCTCTGTCAGCAGATGTGTACCCCCATGCAAGGCCACGAGTACTGGTCAAGTTGCCTTTGACAAGAGAAATCCTATCGAGGCTACCAAAGAACATCAGAACTGTTTTGAGACACCAGCACGAGGAAGAGATTGAACATTTTGCTTACACGTGTGCAGATGAAAATGTCTCAAACCAGACGCTGAACCTCAGCCTCTGACCGACTGACATACGCTGATCATTCGGAGCATCACACGTCAATTCTATGTCTACCGATTAAAATTCTGTCGAATCCAACTCTGATCTGAAGACAATCTGTCGAGGACTAAACGTGAGACAAATACGACATGGAAGATGCACTCATTACTTTGTACAGACGTTGAGCCTCGGAAAAGCTACAATGAATAATTCAGCTTTGAGAACAATTGAAAGCGACCCACTGTTATGGTATCTGGACATAGTTGGCAGGTTGTGCTTCCGCCAGCACTGATTGTGCATGGTCAGTTAACGTTCTCTCGTGATCTTCTTCAACAAAGGCACATCACCTTGCGTATTTACCCCTTTCACATCTTGAGCACACGAACTGAACCTCTGTACCCGTGGGCGAATAATACCCTTGATAGAGTGTTATAAGACTTGCAGTCCAACCTTAAGTCTGTTCTCTACCAGGCTTGCAGATCCCAAGGCAACTATCGAGATTCTAGGAGTTTCAAACTATCATGAGGGGAAAGACAGAAATTCTTTGACACCTGTGATCCAGGAACCGAGGTCTTGCCTGCTGGACAACTTTTGCAAAGATTGGAGAGGTAGGGAATGTCTGAATACGTTCCCTCTGGACATAGCTGGGCAAAGTGTTAGGTCAGAAATGCTTGCTTTCATATGACAGGCCTTGCAAGGAGCGAAGCCATTTTGTGACGAACTCCCGGGAAGGCAAGTCTATTTGCTCAGGGGCTTCAGGTAAGAGTGACATGGAAACTCATTTGTACTTCGCTTTTTTGAAAGATGCGAATCGAGCCAGAGATGCCGGCAGAAGTTTTGAGAGGAACATCTGATGTACATGGAAGTCAAGGAACAAGAGAAAAGAAAAGAAAAGAAATGGACCAAGTTTGGACATGTATGCTGACACATAAAGTCCTCCAAAGTACGAGATGTATGAAATTCTGCTAAGTGATTAAATCTGAAACATGAGAACAAAACATTTTCAACGTTTGTGGACTTGGTGAAGTTGCAGGGGCTTGAGGGCACATGACCTGCAACGTAAAGTTTGAGAGCAGCCTTACTTTGCTTCAGAATAGTTTACGGCAAGTCCGTACGGATTGGAGCCTTTTGAAACTAGAGATCTCCAAGGATCACCGCTGCAAACTGACGACCAAGGAGATTAAAGGAGAAGATCTCACTGATACATCCATACCCGTGTAATTTCTCACACAAACTTGCTCTTGGGTGCACCAATTGCAGCCGTCAACAGCGATGCACGAGGCACAGTCTTGAGCCTTGCACATGATTGACTTTGTATGTCTAAAAGGCAGATGGAGTCGCTCACATGCCAACAGGTCCCAATTGGGATCTTGCCTATTGAGAATATTGAATTTCCAGAGCTTTTCCCATTGTCAGCGCTCGTGACGTCAAAGAGACTGAAATCTACCTGGACGGCGTCGTGCTCTTGGACAGCTGACTTGCACAAAGAGGAATCTGAAGACATTTTGAGCTTATCGATAAAAGCTTGCTCTTTGACGTTTGAATATCATCACCTTGTTGCAATTGGTGATAGCATCAACGCTCTTAAATCCTCCGCCGTATAACAATAGAGCATCTTGGTTGTCATAAAGCTTGAAGGGACTGCTGATTGAGTTGTCTTGGACTGTGATGTTCAAGGACAGGACATCTAAGGAGAAATTTGAGAACATCGTCTAGAGTCCATGTGAATTACCGATCTCAAGCTGAACAGCAGCATCGTTGCCAGTCATTGGTACACTCCAGATCCTCTTTGGGCAGGTAACTCCTGAGGCGTCCCCACTTCTTGACCAGTAAGGAGAACCTAGATTGTTCGGGCCCCCGATTTCACAGCACTGACAAGAAGTTAATCTCGTGCTATCGTGGGATCTCGCTTCAACCTTCCCAATGGTATCTTGAATGGAATCAAGACATGCCACCCTTTCAGGTATTTCTGTTTGCAAGGACCCTGTGAGATAAAAACTTACACAAGGGAACACATGACCTGTCAAGTTGATTTTCAATGAAACTCGTGTTGAAACACCTCGCTGGTCCGATCCTGGAATGGACGAATATTGCCGTTCTAAAACAAGAATCTAAAAACAGGGAACGAGAACAAGTTGAGGCAACAACCTGGAATACAGAGGGAGCTGCCTTGTGCCAGGTCAGTCGCTGGGCAAGTACTTGCACTCGTGACCGCATTCAGTCTATCAGAATCCTTGGCTTTGGGTACTAGTGCAGCCCATGTTGCCGGCTGCTGCATCATGGACGTATGACCTGAGGATATCTTGCTAGTCCTTCGTCTTGTTCCTGTCTGCAGTGCGCTTGTGCAATTCAACGGCCAGAGCTCAAATGACTGCAGGAACTATCCAGAGGTCAACAATAGCAGAACAAAAAGATCCAAAGCTATGTTACCCCGCTGTCGCGGGCTAACTTGGGAGATAACTCAATCTGCAGAAATCAAGTTCGAAAGTGACACTTGGAAAAGAATAGATGTGTCACCAGCATTTTACAGTAGGACTCCTTCCATTTCATCGTGGAGAGGTACGACGGTGGATGAGAAACCAACGGACTAGCGGATGTTTGGCCATCCATGATACTGCACATATATCGAATTACAAATGAATCAATGCATCCTCAGCCTTACGATTGATGGCTAATCCGATGAATTTCTGAATTCATTGGATCTGCCAAGGATATTACAAGAAGATCAAAGTTTGTCTAACATCTGCTACCTTGAAATGTCAACCTGAACCCACTTGGACAGATATCCTGCTTGCAAGTCTGACTCCAGATCAAAGGGGAGCAAGTTACCTCTATGATAGCCACCCTATCACGTGGTTCGGATTTAAGAAACTTCATCTGAACAGACACTGTCGTGGAGTCCGTCGACTTCATCGTAAACGTTCCTTCTTCCGTGATAGCTTTGCACTCCAATGTTTCTGAACTTCTAAAAAACTGTTCGCAAAACTCAGTAACATTGAGGCCCTTTCTGTCTAGTACAACCTGCATGTAGCGAAATATTCCTGATTCAAAATGCCACAACACCTGGCATTGGGACAGCGATCCGGGAATGGTTTTGTTACCAAAATACCAACCACTCAATACAGAAGGCATTCCCATGGAAGATGTCGTTTCTGCATGATTGTGATGAACACAAAGTAAAGAGGGAAAGGAGGACCATAACACTTTGAGACCGGACAGACCTTGTCCGATGCTACTTGGTTGCAAGTGCAGAATGCACATGGTTTGCATATCAAGCAAGGATAGTTGAAACAGGAAGACAAAGAGCAGAACTGGCCATCAGCACAGTCTGAATGCTGACTACACCACGGGTGTGCAACAGCCTGTGGTGAGACAATCAGGTTGGAATCGATCAACTTCGAATGCTCAAAGGAGTCAAGCATGACCTTGTTCCAAATGAGAAACCGTAGAAAGATCAATATCCTCGCATAGCGCCAACACTTCTCGTGATTTGTTTGAGATCTTTTCTTCTTCGCTGCAGATTCCGATGTACGAAGTATCTCTTTTGAGATCGGACGGCTGGCTGTATATACCCAGGAAATATCCCAGAGCAAGGGAATCATGGTTCCAGGTATGTGTTACTGATATGCTCTGGCACATCATTGAACGTGTACGAAATTTGTTTGTGCCTCTTAGCCATGGGTACCCTTCTAGGCCTGCTATCAACAGACAGTCAATCTCTCATAGTCCACTACGCTCATTCATTGGTTGAAATCGATCTCTGCTGATATTTGCTTTCCTATCTGTCTCGCAGACTCATCCTCGTCTTGTACTCTTTTGTTTTGAATCTATCATGGTTGTGCCCCCCCACATTGCTCCTGACGTCTCCTGCTACCTTTCATTGATCACCTTACACTCACCGCTGCTTGACTTTATTCTGCGCAGTACGGTGTTGAAGTCATCTAAGGCGTTTCCCGTACTCTTTCTGCTCCTCTTGTTACTCCTGCTCCTCTTCCTGCTCCTCCTGTCTCTCCTTCAGTGCTTCATCTACTTCCGCACCTACTCCTCCACTATCTGCTGCCTGTTTCACCATCACCACTATCACAGCTCCTCCTCCTCCCCTTCGCTTCGTTCTCCCGCCATAATTTTCCACCCAGGAGTTTGTGATCGAATGTGGGGCTCACTGAAATCACCAGGGGTACTTTCCCATGAATGTAATGGGGTAGGGTGGTGGAAGACAAGGGGTACTTGGAGGCGTAAAGTTGATCCGCCGGTAGGGGGTGGGTGCTCATTCATGATCTAGGGGTAGGGGTAGACAAATCAGGGGCAAACGTCTCAGTGTTGCAGGTTGAAATGAGGGGTACTTCAAAGTTTTGGCTGTCGTGGGGTGGGTAGTGAACCCAATTTTCCGTTGGCAAAGGAACAAAAAGAACCGAAGACCGAGAAAAGATGATGGCGAAGAGGAGGAGGAGGGGGAGGAGGAGGAGGAGGAGGAGGAGGAGGCGAAGGAGGAGGAGGAGAAGGCGAAGGAGGCGAAGGAGGAGTAGAATGAAGATAGGAAGAGATACAATGTCCTCAATGATGTGTGAGATAGAGATGATCGCTGAGGAGTAGGAGCAAGAAGATCAAGATGATGATGATGCAGACAAAGTCGGTCAATGACAATGAGGAGGTGGAGGTGTAGTATGAGGAGTTGCATGCATGTTTGAAGATTTCGACTGGAGAAATCTCAAGAGGCTAAGTTGGCAGATGTCCTGATGTTCTGAAAGGTCATATTTTGGCAGGTTTCCACTACCAGCATGGAGGTTTGGAACAAGCTGCTGGAGGAAGGCAGCGAAGAGCGATGGAGGCTGCTGCAGCCATCAGAGTACGCAGCAGAACAGCAGCAGGAGACTGGGATCCCCCTGCACGAAAGCTACATGTCAGATAAGAGAAAATTCCGTATCGACATCACCAAGGCAAACTCAAAAGACGCGGCAAAGTTGTGGTCCGACCCACGGTGCCTTCCTGGAGTGCTCAAGGGATACTACGACTTCTCCGCCCTGCCAGTCCCCGTCGACGCCTCACTGCGTCGAGCTGGGCTGCAGTCAGCGTTCGAGGACAGTCTGGTCTCCAAGACCAACGTCGAGATCCTGGTGTCTGCCAAGGGACTGCCGAGGAAGCGGCCGATCAGTGTGGATCCGAGATGCTGCCTGATCCGCTCGGGGAGGACGGGGCAGGGAGCGGTGTGGAGGGAGGAGCTGAAGACGGAGAGGCTGGAGGACACGACCTCGCCAAGGTTTCAGGTTCCCTTCAAGTTCTGCTTCTGCGATGTCGGGGAGGACGAGGACATGTTGTTTGTGATATACGATGACCCTGACCCGTTCGGACGAGAGCGCGAGGTCAGCAGGGACATCTCGCTAGGGGTATATGACTCCTCCTCCTCCTC